GAAAATGCATGCAAACACAAATGTCTATGGGTTGTTCTGTTTGAACCAAATGGCTGACTTCTTAGATAAAGACATGGTTGCATACTGAAAACGATGATCTATCTCCAGACTCTCTTCAATGTATATTTCATTTCTTTCGCTTGCTTTTTCTCATTCAACAATTCAGACAAACCACGTTACAAGCAGCCGTACCTGAAGGTCTGACACAAACGACAACACCCCCAAACCACACACCCAGGCCACTCACATGGACGCCGCCTCCCTGCCTGTGCCCGCGGAGCCCAGCACTGCTTCTGTGCTTTGTCGTGATGCTCTTTCAGGCAGTTTATCGGAACAAACAGCAGAGGACGGCAGACCAAAAAAGATGAAATGCTCCAGGAAAACCACACCTGGAACAAAAGGGTCTCGAGGATGCTATGGTATTTTAGCAACTTCTTAACCTTTTCTCCAAATAAATAAGAGATGCGAAGGGCACAGCCGAGGGCCTGGTGGGCAACAGAAAGCCAACAGGTTTGCTTCTTCCATCCTCCTGTCTTTAGGACCACTCTGGTTTATGTGGACTCCTCTGCCCACTTTCTCCAGAACGCAAACACAGCGCACGTCTCCCACGGAAGAACAATCCCGTCACCCTCTACTTCGATCTTAGCCATCTATCCAAGCTGCCACGTGAGTCCCAGCTCCTCCCGAAAGCCTTCCCTGATCAGGCCTGGGCCCAGTTTAAAGCACGTATCCTAGAGGATTCTGGGAGCCCATGAGGTCTACCCGCTCACCCGCAACATCTGTGCTGGTGCTTCCGAGAGGCCCGCACAGGACGGCCCGGCTCGCTTGGGGCAGCTCCCGCAGACGAGGGTGAGGGGCCCCCAGGCTCTCCTTCTGACCGCGAACATGCTATACCCTAAGGATGGCTCAAAGCCCAGCCTGAGGGCCTCCTCCTCTCTGACCTCAGATTGCCTAAATTAAGTAGAACATTCTTATTTGTACGGTCCCTCTGCAAAAAGAAAGGTCATCTTTCTGGCACCTGGTCTGATGAAGGTTGTCAAGAGGCAACCTCTGACAAGAAAGAATTTCAAAGATGAAAGTGATACTTGACAGGTCCCTAGGGGACGGGATGCACCATCAGAGGCTGAAAGTCATCGGTCATTCATCCAACAGTGGGCACCTCCTAATGGTGGGTGTTGTGGACATGCGTTAAGTTCCCACTAAGTGCTGGCCAACCCATGTCTTTCCTCTGCTCTGTCTGAGGGCAAGTGGGGGCCTGAGGTGAAAAGTTGGAGGGAAATGAAAATCTTCTAACCAATCCAGTAATCCTGGCACACCTTAGAGGTATAGGGGATTGGTCCCAATCCTAAATCCCCTAAATCCCTTTTTTTAAAGTTTTTATTTATTTATTTGAGAGAGAGAAAGCACGAGCAGGGGCAGAGGCAGAGGGAGCCGACTCCCCGCTGAGCAGGCAGCCTGATGCGGGACTTGATCCCAGGATCCTGGGATCATGATCTGAGCCAAAGGCAGATGCTTAACCGACTGAGCCACCCAGGCGCCCCCAAAACAATGAATGCCTTAATTAAAAAGTGCTTTACTGCTACCCATCATCTGAGCTCTCCGCAAGCTGTGATCCTTTTGCTGGTGGAGGGTCTTAGCTCGATGCTGCCGGCCGCTGACTGATCACGTCGGGGTTTCTGAAGGTTGGGCTGTCTGTGGCAGTTTCTTAAAACAAGAGAACAAATTTGTTGCACTGATTGACTCTTCCTTTCCCAAATGATTTCTCTGTAGCATGTGCTGTTGTCTGATAGCATTTTACCCACAGTAGAACTTCTCTCAAAACTGGAGTCAGTCCTCTCAAACCCTGCCAACCTATCAACTAAGGTTATGCAATATCCTAAATCCTGGTCATATTTCAACAGTCTTCAGAGCATCGTCACCGGGAGTAGACTCCATCTCAAGAAATCCCCTTCTTTGCTCCTCCATAGAAGCACCTCCTCATCCGTTCAAGTGTTATCCTGAGAGGGCAGCGGTTCGCTCACCTCTCCAGGCTCCACTTCTAGCTCTCTGGCTGTTTCCGCCACAGCTGCAGTGACTTCCTCCACTGAGTCTTGAACCCCTCAACGTCCTCCACGAGGGCTGGCACCCGCTTCTTCCAAACTCCTGTTAGTACTGACATTGAACCATGGGAACATTTTCTTAATGGTGTCTGGAATGGTGAATCCTTTCCAGAAGATTCTCAATTTACCCAGATTGAGCACAGGAATCACCATCTATGGTGTGTCTCTTAAATAATACAGCCTTGCGAAGCGTGTCTCTTAAATATGACTTCAAAGTCAAAATTACTCCTTCTCCGTGGGCTGCAGAATGGATGTTGCATTAGCAGGCGTGAAAACAACACTAATCTTGCCGGACGTCATCAGAGCTCTTGGGTGACCAGGTACGATGTCGACGAGCGGTAATATTTCAAAAGGAATCTTTTTTTCTGAGCAGTAAGTCTCCACAGTGGGCTTCAGATATTTGGTAAACCATGTTGTAAACAAGTATGCTGTCGTCCAGGCCGCGCCATTCCATCTGCAGAGCACAGGCAGAGGAGAGGTAGCATAATTCTTAAGGGCCCTAAGAATTTTCCGGCTTCAGCTTCAAGTCACCAGCCGCATTAGCCCCTAACATGAGCTCCCCTCTGCTAGCTGCAGACTTTTCTTCTGCGGCTTCCTCACCTCCCTCAGCCTTCGTGGACTTGAAGAGAGTCAGGGCCTTGCTCTGGATGAGGCTTTGGCTTAAGGGAATACTGGGGCTGCTTTGATCTCCTATCCAGACCACCAAAATTTTCTCCCCATCAGCAACGAGGCCGTTGTGCTTTCTTATCACTCATGTGTTCGCTGGAGTAGCGCTCTTAACTTCCTTCGAGAACCTTTCCTTGGCATTTGCGATGTGGACTTTTGGCACAAGAGGCCTACCTTTTGGCCTATCTTGGCTTTAGACATCCCTTCCTCGCCAAGGTTAATCATTTCTAGCTTTTGATTTCAAGTGAGATATGTGTGACTCTTCCTTTCACTTGAGCACTTAGAGGCCATTACAGGGTTATTAATTGGCCTAATGTCCATATTGCTATGTCTCAGGGGACAGGGAGGCCCAAGGAGAAGGAGAGAGAGGGAAACAGGCGGTCGGTGGAGCAGTCAGAACACACAACATGCATGGTTAAGTTTGCCGTCTTATATGAGTGCAGTCTGTGGTGCCCCCGAACAAGTCTGATAGAAACATCAGAGGTCAGAGATCACTGTAACAAGTATAATAATGAAACGGTTTGAAACCCTGCAAGAATTATCGACATGTGACGCAGACATAAAGTGAGCCTGTGCGGCTGGGAAAGTAGCACCAATAGGACTTGCTCAGTGCAGGGTTGTCACAAAGCTTCCATTTGTACAAAAGGCGGTATTTGTGAAGCACAGTAAAGGGAAGAGCAATAAAACGAGGTATGCCTGCACATCTTTACACGGGAAGCAGGCAGAGGGGGCTTAACTGTACCGAACTGTAATAAACTCTAAGGTCCTCCCAGAGTGAAGAGGACTCAGAGCTCCTACAGGCTTGTTCCTTGCTTCAGGACCACCAGTCTCTCCCTGTGAGTGTGGTGACAGGCATTCTCCACTCAGACCAGGGCCTGTGTCTGTAGGAATGGCTCCCAAGGCAGCAGTCCACCCCTTGCTCAACATCGCAAGGGCGGCTGCACCAGCCCCGTGGCCAGGCCTGGTGTCTGGCCCTCAAGAGATCATAATGTGGCCCTGGGATATGTGAGACAAAGCCAAGAGTTCATCGGAATAGGGATCCGAGAAAGGCCTTCTGAGAGGCTTGCAGCTGGTGTGACCAGCCCTCCAGTGGGACAGCACAGGTCCTCTGAGGATGCCCAAGGGGAGCACGCCCCCCCATTATCAGGGGTGGGGAACTTAGGGATGAGCTGCAGTTTCTCAGAATGAAGGCAGAGGGGCTGCAGTGGAGAAAGGCCTCCGACAAGCAGACCGCATGTGCAGAGGTATGAAGATGTGAGGACGCTTGAGATGCTCACGTGTGCATCACGAAGGCAGAGAGTCCCCACTCGGGAAACAGCGGGACGCCGGGCTGGAGAAGTCAGTGGGAAGCGGCATCCCTCAGGGTCAGGAGAGCCAGGCCCACAGGGCTGCAAGCTAGGGACGCTATGACAGGATCGAAGGCCTATCATTGGTCTCACAGAGCAGGAACCGGGCCAAGACTGGTATCAGCAAAACCATTCAAGTGTCTGCCTGCCAGGTAATCTAAGGAAGATATGAACTAAGCCAGTGACCCTAAAGACTGACTAGGGAAACATTCAGGGGTGATTTGGTGACCAACTGGATGGGGAAGATGAGGGCAGGGGTCTCCCTTGGAAATGTAGGGTAAAGGGCAAGGTGAGAAACGCCTGCAGGGAATGGTCCTCACACGGAGGTGGATGTCTGCACAGAGGTGAAGGGACAGAGCTATACAGGGAATGGTCGAGAAGGGTGTCAGAGCCCAGGAGCTCCATACCCAAAGGGTGGCTGGAGAGACTGCTTTCCCTAAAACTAAATATTTGATCATACTAATTTAATTAGACCTATTGAATTAAATTTAATTTTCTTTACTTAATACTAAGATGCAAAATATTAAAATACATATTAGAGACATTTAATTGTTACACTATCTTGTTGGAACAGAGTCCACAGTCCGAAATGAACTATTTTGGAAATGGGCTCTTCTCGTGCTTACATGAGTTACACTGCCTATTTTTGATCAACTTAACAAATAAAACTTATCTACTAGAGATCAAAGAGAACTAAAAATAAAACCAAGGTCCACTGCTGATTGACCATATCCCCAACAGTGTGAGTGACCAGACCCTACGAATGGCCACCAAGGGCTCCACCGCAGCCCTTCTGCCCAGGCTCCTGGGTGGCCAGAGGGAGCCCGGTGGGAGCCTCAGGCTGAGGATGAACAGGCCCCCAGGCCCCAGGAGTTCATGCTGTTCTTACCTGTACACAATTCTTTCCCTCTGTAAATCCTCCAAGCCACAGCACAGCTCGGCAGCATAGAAAATAGCTCTCTGCTCATCAAAGCCAGGGTTGCCCAGGTTGTGGATGTGAAACTTCAAGTCCCCTCCATTCATAATGGTTAGCACCAAGCACAAGGAATCTTTGGTTTCATAAGCGTAGGACAAACTAACCTAAAGACAACAGCATCATAAAAAACAAAGCACAAACACCTGCTCATTCATTGGTGATTTACTCTATTTGCTAACGTTATTCAAATACTCCGTGTTAGATTTATCATTAGAACGCCCAAATACTATATTCAGGGAAATGCATACCATGCATGTGGTGCTTCTTGGACATCTACCTATCAAAGATCTTACAGGAATTCTGTACTGAGAAGAGAACTTTCTGTGGCTAAGTGGGTAGATGGCAAAACTTCACAAAGACAGTCGGGATCATGATTCACTGAAGCTATGCTCCAATCGTGCTCAACGTTTCATACTTCTAGAACACCCATGTTCAGTATACAAGTTAAGTTACGAGTTAATACACCCACCCACGGTGTAAGAGGGGTCTTGCGCTGCACATCTTTCCAACGTTTTATGTTGTCAGTCGATGCTGCTGAAAGTATAGTTGCCTCTTACTGCACTATTAATGTGCATTTCTCTGTATATACGAATACAGGACATATTTCTCATACTTTTTCATATACTTATCCATTTGGAACTACTTGTGTGAAGTACGTGTCCAAGTATTTTGCCCACTTTTCTGCTGGTTTGTAGGTCAATTTACACACACACACACACACACACCCCGTACTGGGATTTTGATTGGGACTACACTTCATTCATTCAATCTATACATCAATTTGGGAAAACCAACATCTTCATACATTGAGCTTTCTAATCCATAAGCATGGCATCCTTCCCTTTATTTGGTCTTCTTTAATTTCTTGGAATAGCGTTTTAGATCTCAGTGTAGAAGTCTTGCACATTTTCATTAAATTTTTGCCTAGATTATGATGTTTCTTGATGCTATTGTAAATGGTATCAATTAAAAGTTTTTATTTTCTAACTCTTTGTGGCTGATACTGTTTCTAATAACTGGGCTAGAAACACAATAAATTATATAGAAAGTAGTGGACCATTTCCATGCACACTCATGCTGTGGGCCAGCCAGGGTGGGCAGTGGGAAGGAGGGGGCTGAGCGTGCCACAGCAGGTCAGGACCCACCGATCCACTGTAAGCAGAGAGGAAAAAATACAACCAAGGATGAAGGAAAACTCACAGAGGAAATAAAAAGCTACCTGCAAACAAATAAAATGGAACCAACTTTCCAAAATCTATGGGACACAGCAAAAGCAGCTCTAAGAAAGAAGGACTTAACAACACAGGCCCACCCCAAGAAACTAGAAAAATGCCACACAAACAATCTCATTTTATATCTAAAGGAACGGAAAAAACAACAAAGCCCAAAGTTAGACCTATTGAATTAAATGGCTCCCATGTTCAGTATACAAGTTAAGTTATGAGTTAATACACCCACCCACGGTGTAAGAGGGGTCTTGCGCTGCACATCTTTCCAACGTTTTATGTTGTCAGTCGATGCTGCTGAAAGTATAGTTGCCTCTTACTGCACTATTAATGTGCATTTCTCTGTATATACGAATACAGGACATATTTCTCATACTTTTTCATATACTTATCCATTTGGAACTACTTGTGTGAAGTACGTGTCTCATGCTCTCTCTCATTCTCTCTCAAATAAACAAAATCTTTTAAAAAATAAAAAAAAAAGAAGGATCATACCTTAACATAATAAAGGTCATGTGATAAACCCACAGCTAACATTGTCCTGAATGGTGAAAAGCTGAAAGCTTTTCCTCTAAGATCAGGAACAAGACAGAGATGCCCACTCTTGCCACTTTTATTCAACATAGTATTGAAAGTCCCAGCCATAGCAATTAGGCAAGTAAAAGAAATAAAAGGCATCTAAATTGGAAAAGAAGAAGTAAAACTATTTGCAGATGACATGATGCTATATATAGAAAACCCTAAAGACTCCACCAAAGAGGGTGCCTGGGTGGCTCAGTTGGTTGGGCGACTGCCTTCAGCTCAGGTCATGATCCTGGAGTCCTGGGATCAAGTCCCGCATCGGGCTCCCTGCTCAGCAGGGAGTCTGCTTCTCCCTCTGACCTTCCTCCTTCTTGTGCTCTCTGTCTCTCATTCTCTCTCTAATAAATAAATAAAATCTTTAAAAAAAAAAAAAAGACTCCACCAAAGAGATTTGAGAACTAATGATTTCAGTAAAGCCACAGGGTACAAAATTAACATACAGAAACAGGTTGTGTTTTGATACACTAATAAAAAGCTATCAGAAATAGAAATTAAGAAAACAATCCCAGGGACACCAGGGTGGCTCAGTCGGTTAAGTATCAGACTCTTGATTTTGGCTCAAGTCATGATCTCATGGGTCATGGCATCAAGCCCCATATCAGGCTCTGTGCTCAGTGGGGAGTCTGCTTGAGATTCTCTCCCTCTGCCCCTCTCCCCACTCACATGTGCACACACTCTCTCTCTCAAATAAATAAATATATCTTTTTAAAAAAGAAAACAGGGTGCCTGGGTGGCTCAGTCGTTAAGCGTCTGCCTTTGGCTCAGGTCATTATCCCAGGGTCCTAGGATCAAGCCCCTCATCGGGCTTCCTGCTCAGCAGGGAGCCTGCTTCTCCCTCTCCCACTCCCCCTGTTTGTGTTCCCTCTCTCACTGTGTCTCTCTCTGTCAAATAAATAAAATCTTTTTAAAAAAATAAAAAGAAAAAAAGAAAACAATCCAACTTACAATTGTATCAAAGTAATAAAAAACCCAGGAATAAATTTAACCAAGGAGGTGAAAGACATATACTCTGAGAACTACAAGAGACTGATGAAAGAAACTGAAGGCAACACAAACAAATGGTAAGATACACCATCTTCGCGGCATGAAGAATTAATATTGTTAAAATGTCCATATTACCCAAAGCAATCTACAGATTCAGTGCAATCCCTAACAAAATACCAATAGTTCTCTTCACAGAACTAGAACAAACAATCCTAAAATTGTACAGAGTAACACAAGACTCTGAAGAGCCAAAGCAATCTTGAGAAAGAAGAACAAAACTGGAGGCATCATGCTCTCTGATTCCAAACTATATTACCAAGCTGTAGTAGTGAAAATGGAATGGTATTGGCATAAAAACAGCCACACAGATCAGTGGAATAGAACAGAAAGCCCAGAAATACATCTATGCGTATATGGTCAGTTAATTTATGACAAAGGAGGCAAGGACATTCAATGGGGAAAAGAGAGCCTGCTCAATAAATCGTGTTGGAAAAACTGGACAGCCACACGCAGAAGAATGAAACTGGATCACCACCTTTTACCATACACAAAAATTAACTCAAAATGGATTAAAGACTTGAACGTAACAAGTAAAACCATAAAACTCCTAGAAGAAACCATAGGAAGTAAGCTCTTTGGCATTAGTCTTAGCAATACTTGGGGGTGGGGGGCACAGTCTACTGAGGCAAGAGCAACAAAAGCTAAAATAAACAAATGGGATTACAAGAAACTAAAAAGCTTCTGCACAGCGAAGGAAACCATCAACAAAACAAAAAGGCAACCTACTGAATGGAAGATATTTGCAAATCATATATCAGATAAGGGAATAATATTAAAAATATATTAAAAGATTTATACACATTAATATGAAAAAATAACTTGATTAAAAAATGGGCAGAGTATTTAAACAGATATTTTTCCAAAGAAGACATACAGATGGCCAACAGGCATGTGAAAAGATGCTCAACATCACTGAGCATTAGGGAAAGGCAAATCAAAACCACCACGAGATATTACTTCACACCTGTCAGAATGGCTGGAATCAAAAAAACCCAAGAAATAACAAGTGTTGGTAAGGATGTGCATGAAATGGAACCCAGGTGCACTGTTGCTGGAAATGTAAGTTGGTGCAGCCACCATGGAAAACAGTATGGAGGTTCCTCAAAAAATAAAAAACTTGAAATACCATATGTAATGGTATTTCAAGCAAATGTACATTCCAGCAAATGTACCTCTAGGTGTTGATCCAAAGAAAACGGAAACACTAATCCAAAGAGATATCTGCACCCCTAGGTTCATTGCAGTCTTATTTACAAGAGCCAAGATACAGAAGCAACCTAAGTGTCCACTCATAGATGAAAAGATATAGAAGATGTGGTCCATATATACAATGGACTATTACTCAGCCACAAAGAAGGCTGAAATCCTGCCATTTGCAAAACATGGATAGACTTAGTGGGTATTATGCCAAGTGAAATAAGTCAGTCAGAGAAAGACAGATGCCATATGATTTTACTCATATATGGAATATTAAAAACAAAACACACTAACAAACAAAACAGAAACAGACTCAGACACGGAAAACAAACTGTTGATTACAAGAGTAGGGAGGGGTGGTGGTGCCTGGGTGGCTTAGTCGTTAAGCGTCTGCCTTCGGCTCAGGTCATGGTCCCAGGGTCCTGGGATCGAGCCCCACATCAGGCTCCCTGCTCGGCGGGAAGCCTGCTTCTCCCTCTCCCACTCCCCCTGCTTGTGTTCCCTCTCTCACTGTGTCTCTCTCTGTCAAATAAATAAATAAAATCTTAAAAAAAAAAATAGGACAATCAGAAAAACCCTGGCAGACTTAAATCCTAACATATCAATAATTACATTAAATGTAACTGGCCCAGGGGCCAGGGTCCTGGGATCGAGTTCCGCATTGGGCTCCCTGCTTGGCGGGAAGCCTGCTTCTCCCTCTCCCACTCCCCCTGCTTGTGTTCTCTCTCTCGCTGTGTCTCTGTCAAATAAATAAACAAAATCTTAAAAAAAAAAAAAAAAAAGAGTAGGGAGGGGTTGGGGGACAGAAAATAAGTGGAAGGGATTAAGAGGCTTCAGGGCGGGGCACCTGGGTGGCTCAGTTGGTTAAGCGACTGCCTTCGGCTCAGGTCATGATCCTGGAGTCCCGGGATCGAGTCCCACATCGGGCTCCCTGCTCGGCAGGGAGTCTGCTTCTCCCTCTGACCCTCCCCCCTCTCATGTGCTCTCTCTCATTCTCTCTCTCAAATAAATAAATAAAATCTTTTAAAAAAAAAAAGAGGCGTCAGGGCGCCTGGCTGGCTCATTTGCAAAAGCATGCAACTTGATCTCAGGGTCGTGAATTCAAGCCCCACATTGGGTATAGAGATTACTTAAATAAACAAACTTCTAATTATGAAACAGATAAGTCAAGGAGATGTAATGTATAGCATAGGGAACATAGTTGATAATACTGGAGTAAGTGTGGTGATAGATGGTAACTAGACTTATCACAGGGATCATTTCATAATGCATAAAAATACGGAATCACTATGATGTACACTTGAAACTAACAGGATATTGTCATATCAATTATACTTCAATTAGAAAAGAAAAGGATGAAGGAAAATATGTCTAGGTTCCTTGGGAGAGGCCAAGAATACAGAAACAAAAATATTTCATTTAAATAGAATAAACCATAGGTATTATTTATGTCCCTTTCATAAAGCTAGATTATGGATTTCTGTGTTTCAAGGTAGTTACACAAACATATTTAAAACAACTCCATGATGAGCCAGTTTTATTAAAGATTTTTGTGGAATGTACGATGAGAGACCTGTCACACACAGAGGTAAATGTAGAGGATGGCTGTGCAGGCCACTATTTGCAAAGTTTGTCCCCTAGCACAAAGCAGCGAACCTCAGTCCTGAGACAGAAGTGACTTGGAGGAAGTAAGCCTAACACCACAAATTCTGTCCTAAGTTATCTTTCCCTCTCCCCCTTACATAGACCCTCCTGTTGCCACAGATGCTACAGGAGATATGAAGGGGGGCAGAGAAGTTAGGTTTGGGGATGAATGCCACAGCACCTCATGCACAACACAGGGCCTAGGAGGGTCACCTAAGCCCCATTCGCCCAACCCTTGCCTGACACAGTGAAGGTGGGATTTAAGGCTTCATACGATTGGGGAATGCTTGCCGGGGGCCCGGCAGTACATTGGCCAGGTGTCAGACTGCGGCCTCGCAGAGAGGAGGACTTGGGGCAGTGCCTTCAAGCTCAGGAGGCAGTGGCCCCACGGCCCAGGATGAGCACCGGCTGCCCAGGAGAGGGCAGGGCCCTGACCGGTAACAGCCCGCTCCTGGGTGTGAGGAGGAGCCCACAGACCAGGCCCCGGGGGGTGGGATCACCACTGCTTTGTGTGTGTGTTCAGTAAGAAGGGGATAGGGAAGAAGAGGCCACCAGCAGGACCAGGCTGTCCCTGGCCCCTGGCCCCGCCGCCAGCCAAGGCAGCAGTGCAGGTGGGCCCAGCAGCAGATATGCCCAGGAAAGGGGTCCTCACCGCGCCATCCACAGCGAGGACTAAACCCAGATACTCACTACAAATCTGCTATGCACTTTTTCTAGGATTCTCTTTTCGTTGAGAGCCATGGCTTCACCTTTCCTCTTCTTTATTCTTTTTTTCTCTAGCTTCTTACACGCATACATCTTTCCTGTAGCTCGCACTTGACAGGCACAAACCTAGTTTAAAAAAGGGGAAAGAAAGGTTTCTACACACCTCTTAGGCCGCCGCCCCTACCACCACCCCCACCAGCAACCAAGCCCCATTTCCTCCATGATCAGCCCCTCTGGTGAACAGCAGGGAGGGGCTGGCGGCTGGCGGGGGTGGGGGGGGGGTGGAGGGGTGGGGGGGCCCTCGCTCTCCCAGCCAGAGCCGCGGCGCATCTGCCCACAGGGGATCACAGCACGTCGGGTCGGCCAGGGTCTCCCTGGGTCTTTCAGTCCTTGCACAAGGGCCACAGTGTTTGAAAGTAAACTGATTCCGCTTTCTTTTAAAAGTTTAAGAATAGGGCGCCTGGGTGGCTCAGTTGGTTAAGCGACTGCCTTCGGCTCAGGTCATGATCCTGGAGTCCCGGGATCGAGTGCGGCATCGGGCTCCCTGCTTGGCAGGGAGTCTGCTTCTCCCTCTCCCGCTGCCCCCTCTCATGTGCTCTCTCTCAAATAAATAAATAAAATCTTTAAAAAAAAAAAGTTTAAGAATATAAGAAAAGATATTGCATAGAGTTCATAAACTCTCATGCATTTATTCTACTTAGTTGTTAAAATACTATTGATACATTACTTACCTTCCCACTAGGAAAAAATTTCCAAAATCACAGAAGTGGAGATGGGGATGGGGCTATAACGAGCTCCCAAGGACCCATCCCACAGCTTCTGGGCTATCGGCACGGGGCTACTTGTGTCCTCTGACTCCCGTCCACTACGCACGCGCGCGCGCACGCACACACACACACACACACCCTTCATACCACGCACACACTCCCCACACACTTACTGCTCGCCACAGGCATGCACACACCCCACACACGTAACACATGCACATATACCACACATACACAGACACGGTTGCCTTATAAGCAAACATAAGACATGATATCACTTTAATCCATCAATAACATGAATTGATAAGAAAATATAGAGTTCATTGTGGAAAATACTGAAAGTATTAGTAAGGACAATGATAAAACTCACTGAAATCCCAAGATAACTGTATAGGGCTTCTGAGTCCTCCCGAATTTTGGGTGGGGAACCTCACCTTCTATTATAAAATAGATAATATTTTATAATCTCCTGCTTTCATCTTCCAGTGTGACTGTTTCCTTATCACTCTATGTTCTCCCAATATCTGACTACTCCAAAATTTCTTTAGTCATTTTCCTACCATTAGGTCTCAGCACATAAATCTTGGCATATCTCTTTACCGTTAACTTAAGACAAATTCTTCTAAGTGGAATTGCCAAGTCGAAGAAAGAGAAGGGAGAAGAGGCGAGGGAGCCAGACTCTGCACTCTCAGCTGAACACGAACATTCCTCTGCTGCTCGCAACCACCCAGGGAAGCAGGGATCGTCTCCCTATCGTGAAGAGGATGGGATGAAGCCGAGGTCCACCGCGGAAGCAAGGCCAGCTGCGCCGCCGAGCCCCCTCCACGGCACTGGCACCTCCACAGCCAGGCACACAGAGATGCCACCAGTCCTCTCTCCTCAGTGCCACCGCAGGACCCCACAAATATCTTCTGGAGCACTTGAAGCCTAAGTGAAAGCACTGCGGTCAACAAAATAAGACCAAAATGTCTGCCCTTGCAAAACCACCAGAAGAGGTGTTAGCATTTGGAAAAAGTAAATCCACTCCTGGAATTTGGATTTAAAAGGCACTGAGGCTGTCCGCATTAGGGTCACAGGGCTCCGTCTGACAGGGATGCACAGTGGAAATGGACTGTTCCGCTCCACCACAGACGCGAGGTAACAAATAACCCATCCAGAACAGGTCCGTGAAAAACCAGAACACTTTATCCATCTGTACAATCTTTTGTGTGGAAACACAAGTAAATGTGTTAAAAAATAATCTATAAATATAAATATGCCAAGTCTTTCACAACAGTTAAAATTCGCTAACACGTTACTACTGGGTCCATTTCTAGAACCTCCATGTGGCTATAACTAGAACTACATTCTTTTGTAAACACAAGAGCTGGAAACATCCTCTGTTCTTGGACAGAATCTGAGTTTTATACTTGGACATCATGAAAGGCAGAGTAGCACAAATTAAAGAGAGCGAATTACTTTCCTGCTTGAGGAGGAGGTATTCAAACAGAGGGTGGATTTCTTACAGGAATCTCTATCCTGGAAGGGTTGCAACAGCATTTGGTTGGATCACTGGAAATACTCTAACAGGTTTCCAGGACTGTGTCGGGCACAACATTGCTGGTTCTGAGATGATGGCGACGTGGGCCGATGTCTCCCTCACCCAAGCACAGAGGTAGGAGAGGCCTCACTTGTGGGACAAGGCCCCTTAGGTTGGCTTCCTAATCCACATTAAGGGAACTCTGGTGGCTTTGGTTTAGGCTTTCCGTGGGAATTTGGGAGCATGGGTGATTTTATCACACGCAGGCAATTTCACTTGCTTCTGACTACACGTGCAGCTTCGGTTCTCTGTGGCTGTCCCGGCGCTGGCTCTGGGGAGTTATAAATGCTAAAACTGAACCTGACCCCTCCAGACAATCAATGAGGCAACTAACACCTCTTTAAATGCCCTAACCAGAACGACCTGTGATTCTTGGCCCACCCCACACAATAGTCTCTCTCTAGGAGAGCCATCATGTTCAAAGACCATCTCTCATGGATTTATGGGTAGTGTCCTTAGGATTTTCCCAAATTTACACATTTTCTAGTATCTTTTGATATAGGTGTGGAGCACATGTCCACACAGAGTTGAGATAAATAGGCACATTTAATAATATACTCTGCACTATATGAGCTTTTAAGCTAGTCTTAAATTAAGGAAATAGAGTAACAGAAATTCAACAATATGGAAACAATCATCTTTTCCATCAGGACAAACTGAGATTGAATGTTGAATAATTGAATGCGGGAAACAACTTCTGTAAGAAACATAAAATGAAAGAAAAAAATCATGAAGATAGTGAATTTTTTCTTTCCAGATCTCCGAATCTTTTAAAAGCAGGTAGCAAAGTACTTTTGTTTGTTCAATCTTAATTCTTGCGGTTGGCTAAACCATTCCCAAAATACACAGTAGAGAAATAAAGGTATTGGTAAAGTTGACACATCATGTCTCTCAAGTACCATGCGGTCTTGCTTTTCTAGTCACGTATTACTTACCTCACCAAATCCGCCTTTTCCAAGAACTCTGTAATGCCTAAATGTGTTCTTTGTCACTGGTTGCCTAATTAAAAAAAAAAAAAAAAAAGCTTCAAGTGTCACATCACATTGTTATTTTAAAGCAGAAAATCCTACCTAGCTCCCGTCCTGGCCTCATTTATGACACTGCACTATTCGAAGGGAATGCCCGGGGCAAGAGTGCCCATGCTCAGGGACCGTGGCTCCCTCTGGTAGGATGACTTCCATTACGCTAAGAGATATAAGTGCATGTTAACATTAAGAATTATTGAAAACAATGAAGACAGATCTAGAACTGTCCAATTATCCTTACTAACTGAAGGAAGTCAGCAACTAGTTCACATCACGACATATGTATGTACTGGGCCTACTGGAAAGCTGCGGAGGAAAATGACATATCTACAGTGCACCACCCTGTGGAAAAAGAACCTCAAAGAGGTGTTTATACTCAACATCTCAAAAGAAACGTGAAGTAGAACTGGAAGTCTAATCAATCAATAACCATTGTAACAACCACACTTACTGAGCACTTACTTTGTACACCAAGCTATACACAATCCTCAGGGCAGTCCAGCAGCCCAGTAGGGTGCATTCTAGAATTACGTCTATTTTCAAAAACAGGGACCTGATGCTCACAAAGGCCAAGTCCCTTGACTGAGTCCACGTGGCTAGTACCACAAGACTGAACCAGTGCATATCGGATTATATTTCTGTGAATCTAGGATATGTTTTATTTTCTAACTCTGTGCTCACAAGGCTGAAGAAATTACATAACACATATTAACAGTTTCTGTACAGCAGTACCGTATCCAGCCCAAGATTTCCAATATTATTTTGACAGATGGAAAAGTATACATCAATCAGTACACATTCTGAGAAGTTACTACTTGTTTTTGAATTTTAAATTAGAACATACCTTTCCAGGGGCACCTGGGTGGCTCAGTTGGTTAAGCGACTGCCTTCGGCTCAGGTCATGATCCTGGAGTCCCGGGATCGAGTCCCGCATCAGGCTCCCTGCTCGGCAGGGAGTCTGCTTCTCCCTCTGACCTGCCCCCTTCTCATGATCTCTCTCTCTTAAATAAATAAAATCTTAAAAAAAAAAAGAAGAATTAGAACATACCTTTCCAGCCATTTCCACTGTAGAAATCGAGAAAAATATGGGCTTTCTTGGTATTCTCCAAATGGTTCTCCACTTAAATAGTTATGGATAATTCTAGAAAAAGATTTTACGTAATTATATACGTTTGTTGCATTACAATATGAAAACAACTATGTTTCAGCACATTCATCAACACTGGGTATGGGAAGTCAATCATTTTACACAATTAAATATATTAAAATTTGCAATTATAGAATTCCACACTTGTTTCTAATGTTATCAGTAAAAATATGAAGGTGAAGTTGGTGTCTGAGTTGAAGTAGAAGTCATCCAGATGAAGGAAGAAGGAAAGCGTCTCCCAAGCATGGACAAAAACCCAAATGGGAAAAGATCATAGTTTCCATGGGGAATTGCTGGTAGACCAGTAACTCAAGAGGCTTTGGGAACAATTCTGGCATTTTCACTGATTGTAAGAATGCTGAGCAAGCCACCTGATTTCACTTTATTTTGTAAAAGGAGGTTATTCACAAGTTCTCGGACTAACTAATATTATAGCACAGCGATTCTCAAAATGTGTTCTGAGGATCCCTATGGATTCTGAGACCCTTTCAGGGGGGTGTTTAACAATGAAACTATATTTGTAATAACGCTGAGACATCATGTGCCTTTTAAAAACTAAAAACCTCATTTTCACAGAGGGGTTTTCCAGAAGCACAAGCATGTGACATCATTGCTCTGATGGCAAGTGGAATGCTTATGTCTTCTTCTTTTTAAAAATGTAAGCCACATACACAAAAGCTGTTTGGGTCCTCAATCATTTTTAAGAGTGTAATAGACATTGGAAGATGTCCAGACATCAGAGGGTCTGACATGGCTGCTACGTATAATCTGAGACCTGAGCACTGTTCTGGAGGCTGGCTACCTAGACCACCTCCTCCTGTCCTAGTGGAGCGAGAGGGAGGGCCTGCTGCCTGCCTCTAGGAACACCCTTCCCTCCTAAGCACGTGGGCAGCCCAACTCCAAACCTTTGTGGACCAGGGCAAGGATTCTGATACTGTCGGCTTAAATCATCTTTGTAGACGTGTTTGTGTACTTCCATGAGAAGAACCACACACTATCAACTTATTCTAATATAATTGTATATTTCAGTCTGTATAAATTAATATGCTGATGACTACAATCAACTTACCAGTGCTTCTCAATTTCACTTCCTAATACTCCTTACCTCAAAAACAACAGACTCTGCCCCGCTGCTCTAATCTGAGAAATAAACCTACTGCACACACCTTTTTTTAAAGATTTTATTTATTTATTTATTTGGGAGGGTGGGGACAAGAAGACTCAGCACTGAGAACAGAACCCAATGCGGGGTTTGATCCCACAACTGAGATCCTGACCTGAACGGAAACCAAGAGTAGGATGCTTAACCAACTGAGCCACCCAGGCGCCCCCCTCTCCCACTGCACACATTTTTTTCAAAGTTATGATATTTAAAACTGTGTATCAGTTCCACATTGGTTTTTAATATATCCATCCTGGGGCTCCCCACCAACCATCGCACTATGCTTGCCTCTCACTACAACTTCTTACAGAAAACAGCGGGGAGCCTAAAGGAAACATTTATTTCTTTTTAAAGATTTTACTTATTTATTTGAGCGAGAGCGCGCGAGAGAGCATAAGAGGGGAGAGGGTCAGAGGGAGAAGCAGACTCCCCGCCGAGCTGGGAGCCTGATGCGGATTTGATCCCGGGACTCCGGGATCATGACCTGAGCTGAAGGCAGACGCCCAACCGACTGAGCCACCCAGGCGCCCTAAAGGAAACATTTAGGTTCATTATGCAGCATCAGTACTCTGGAATCCAAAATGAGAAGGAAGGCTTTCGGGGCAATGAAGGTTGCAGCAATACAGAAATGAGCCAGAATAGTAGGGAATTCTGAAAGTCCTCATTTCTGCACCGCATCGTGCTGAGGTCCCCCGTTAGCCAGTGCCTGGCCCAGCTGCTGGCAAACGACAGGCACTTAGTAAGAATGTAAGGAATAAACCGCCACCAGTCAAGTGAACTAACCCAAACAGACAGAGGACTGAGTACTAAAACTTATTTAAATATGAGAGACTTTTAAGTCGGTATCTCGAAGCGGATACACAGAGAAGGAGGCAGACCTGTGGCCAGTCTGATATGGTCGTGTACACCACCCCATTCGTCAACAACAGGACGGAATTGGAAAAGTGCCTCATCAGAGGGTTAAAAATATGAACAAATTAGTGAAGAGATGTATCAATGAAGAACCCTAAGGCTGGAATGGGGGAACACATGGTAACCATAGAAAAAGGAAAGAGGCCTAGAGGTAAAAAGAGAAATCAGGAAACCAGCTGGCAAGTGCTAGGGAAGTGAAATGCTGTCCCCACTAGAAAGCTGGTTCCCAGTGACAAAGCACAGGAAGCCATGGTGCGAACACGCAGCGTGGACCCACAGGCATGAAAGGACCCTTCTCCCCTGCGGCCCGGACCAGGTCTGCTAAGCAGTGTGACTTTCCCCGCACAACCTCAGGGGCATGCAGAGGTGGGTCTTTGCTCCTCACAATGTGTACTTTTCTCCACAGGTCAAAGTGGAGGTGTGGCTATTCCCTGGCACATGGGTGCTTGGTTTTTGGAAGGGATGGTCATGATGATGTATGCTATGGACTGAATGTGTGTCCCCCCAAAACTCCTATGTTGAAACCTAATCCCCAAGGTGACGGTTTTTGGAGGGTGCAGCCTCCCTGAACGGATTTGGTTTCGTGCTCTTATGAAAGAGACCCCAGAGAGCAACCTGGCCCTTCCTGCCATGTGAGGCCACAGAACTCTGAAGAGGGGCCTCACCAGAGCCGGACCACGGTGGCACCGTGACCACGGGCTTCCAGCCTGCAGAGCCATGGGAGACAGATGCCTCCCAGTCTGTGGCATCTGTTACAGCAGCCAGACAGACAGAGACACTGTGCTTCTGGGAGTGACCTTGAAAAGGCCAATGACACGTGGCCTGCCCTGCCCCCCTGAAACTGCTCCTGGAGGAGGTCCTGCTCTGCTGTCTGCGAGTGTGTCAGCACAGGGGACGGTCTCCAGCCTGGGGCTGTCCCCTTCTTTGTCTCCAGGCTGTGGAGTGCTGCAGTGGAGCCTTCCATCCTGCTTTTGTCCCTAGGGTGTCCTCCACGGGGGCTGGGCCAGACCCTCTGCCCACGGTGGCGTCACTGAGGCTCTGCCCTACCGCCGTCATCCTCAGGAAACACGGATGGGGCAGCGTTACCGCGCACTGAGTAGGAAAGAGGCAGCCGCCAGCTGGAGGCACAGTCACGCGGAAACGACTGAGCACAGGGCCGGCCCGGCTGCCAGCACCCTGTCTCAGAGCACAGGGGACATACCCTCCACTCCACAGTTGCTGATCTGTACACCAGTGAGCCACACACTTACCGCAGAAACAAAATGTAGTTCTTTGGTAATTCTAAATCACAAAGGGATACTTTGGGCGGCACAGAGTGACCGACTAGCCTAAAACCTTGTTCTTCCAGTTGCCAGTGCCCACCAATGTAAGCAAGAGAGGGGCTGAGCCGAGGTGCCAGTGCCAGACAGGTCTACGCCCACACTGTGGATGTGCCCATCACACCGATGTTACCGCTAGGAGATGCCACCACTAGGGCCTAATAGGATCTAGCGCTCTTCTGTGTGTCTACAAGTTAACATAAAGATCTGAGAAAGGAAAAACACAACATCTGAAGTGACTACTTAGGAATTAATTCTCAGATTTTTTTCTAGTAGTTTCTGCAAAATGAAAATGGAACCAAACGTGATCAGTTTTAAAAGTGGGATCTTCACAAAAGTTGCATGCAAACCAGGTTGATGACTGCCCTTCTTGGGGAATGCACCCGTGTGAGGGAGCTGGCTGCTCTGTCCTCAAGCAGAGGGGCCTGGGGCAGGTTACCAAACCTCTCTGGCCTCCAGTAAGGATAACAGTCATGCCCACTTCATGGGTTACTAGGAGGAGTAATGCATTCATAAGCGTTTATCACTGTTGTTCATGTGAGGACGCCCGTGTGAACACTTGGGAAGTGACAGAAAGGGCACCTGGGAACAAGGACCAGGGAGTGGGAGCCACAAGGACCCTCTCCCTAGCCCTCCTGGGGTGAAGCAGCAGCAATCCTCGACCAGCCCCTCCCCCTGCGGGTCTCTGTGCTCCCTGGCCTCCTCCTCAGCCTGCAGGGAAGGGTCTCTGAGAAGACTTGTGGCCCCAGGCTAGGAGAGGCACCCTCAATGCTCACTCCCTGGCAATTTATTCAGCACCTGTGGTAGGCTGAATAATGAATGACCCAATCCCTGGAACCTGTGACTGTCACCCTCCATGGCAACAGGGACTTTGCAGATGACTGAGTTCAGGGGACTGAGATGGCAAAATGATCCTGGATTATCTGGGTGGGCCCTAAATGCCATCACACATGTCGTTGTATGAGGGAGGCTGAGGGAGATGTGCACATACAGAGTAAGAAAAGGTTTCCTAAAGACAGAAGCAGAGAGAAACTTGAGGATGCTGTACAGCTGGTTTTGAACATGGAGTAAGGAGCCATGAACCAAGTAATGCATTCCTAGAAAACAAGAAAATGGATCCTCCCCTAGATCCTCAATGGAGCAAGGCCCTATGGACACCTTGATTTCTGCCCAGCGATACTGCTTTCAGACTTCTGACCTCCAGAACTAAAAAAAAAAGATGCGTGTGGTTTTAGGCCATCAAGTTTGTGGCAATTTGTTATGGCTGCAATAGGAAACTAATACAGCTCCCTAGAAGTAAAGAACCAACTCATTCCTGCTTATCATTTTATTCCTGGAAACTAGATTAATGACAGCACAAATAGGTGCTTAATAACTATTTTCCAAAAAAATAACTAATAAGCCAAAGCTCTGCAATTCATATTTTTTTAAGTCACGTAGGAATGAAAACTCAAGTCAGCAGTGTTTTGTTTTGCTCTCTAACATAACCTCAACCCAAAGAAGCAAACTATTACTGTGACTTGAAATGCTTCCCCCATACAGATATGTTGAGTTCTAACCCTGGTCTTTGCGGATATAAATAGTTAAGATGAGGTCATACCAGAATAGGGTGGGCCCTGATTCAATGGAACTGGTGCCCTTATAAGAAGAGGAGAGAACACGAGGACAATGACAGCAGAGACTGAAATGCTGCAGCTGCAAGCCTAGAAACAGCAGGGATCGCTGGCCTCCACCAGAAACAAGCAGAGACGAGGAAGGATCCTGTCCTTGAGAGGCCTTGACTTCAGACTCCCAGCTTTCAGAACTGTGAGAATAAACTTCTCTTGCTGTTTTTTTAAGATTTTATTTAGGACGCCTGGGTGGCTCAGATGGTTGGGCGTCTGCCTTCGGCTCGGGTCATGATCAAGTCCCGCGTCGGGTTCCCTGCTCGGTGCAGAGCCTGCTTCTCCCTCTCCCTCTGCCACTCCCTCTGCTTGTGCTCTTCTGTCTATCTCTCTGTCAAATAAATAAATAAAATCTTTAAAAAAAAAAAAAGATTTTATTTATTTATTTGAGAGCAAGAGAGAGAGAGAACAAGTGGCAGGGAAGAGAGGGGCAGAGGGAGAGGGAGAAGCAGGCTCCCCATTGAGCAGGGAGCCCAACACAGGGCTCGATCCCAGGACCCTGGGATCACGACCCAAGCCGGAGGCAGATGCTTCACCGACTGAGCCACCCAGGCATCCAGGGAATAAATTCCTGCTGTTTTATGCCACCTAAGTTTGTGGAACTTTGTGATGGCCACCCCAAGAAACGGACGCAGCACCTGACATAGAGCCAGCACTCAACTAGCCTCTGTTGAAGGGCTCTTAGGATAAACAACACCCGAATGCTGCATGACTGGACAGAGGACTCCGTGTTCTGGGCCAGATCAGTCCAGAAACCATTCTTTCTCCCTGTGTACATCAGGAGCCAGATTTAGTCAAAGTGCTTTCACTTAGAATTTCCCTGTCTGTACTGCAAATACCTAGAGAAAAGATATTTTCAGCAAGTTCCTAGGGCTTTAAAAAAACAACATTTTATGGGAATCCTTACATCCCAGACACACACATTTCAGAAGGCTGAGCGGAGGGGCCAGGGGCCTACAAAACCATGCGCATACACTGGCTCTCCACGATGTGACCCATTTCAGGGTGTCCCTTCTGTCTGTATAATTATCACCCTTCGTGTATCTCTTTCCAGTGAAAATGACCACTTTAATTTGGAAAGTCCTGCAGAGAGAGCTGGTGTCATGCAGAGAGAGCCCCTGTAAGCCTCCCATCTGGCGTCCGCCACACGTCTGTGCAGGGTGGCGCCGGCCGCTTACCTGGTGCATTCCTCAAAGTCGTCCTTGCCGGGGTTCTGCTTCAGTCTCAAACGACATTCTCTCAAAACACAGGAAGGTATTTCTGGTAAATGGACTGCTGACTTTTTAATACAGCACAAACCAAATGCATAACAATTAGTGATTTCATAATTTACCAATTGTAAACAGAACCTAATGCTTACTGTAAGAAAAAAGTACATCAAGTGTATGAAATAAGTCAAAGTGCCACCTTCACCCGCCACCCCGGTATCATTTCCCAGAGTTCACTGTGTTGTCCACCTTTTCAGATCTTTTCCTAAGTAAATCAAATCAGAGCGAAAAGCAAGGTTTTGGGGAGGTATCTGTACACCCATATCCACAGCAGCATTATTCACAATATCCAAAAGCCTGGAGCAACCCAAGGGTCCACTGACAGACGAATGGATAAACACTGTGGTCCATCCATGCCGGGGAATGTGACTCAGCTTCAAAGAGGAAGGACATTCTGATACCTGCTACAACACGGATGAACCTTGAGGACATTGTGCTCGGTGAAATGAGCCCGTCACAAAAGGACAAATACTGTATGATCCCACTTCTGTGAGGTCCCCGAAATGGTCAGAATACTAAAGATGGAACGTGGAATGGTGGTTGCCTAGGGCCTGGGGGAGGGGAAAGTGGGCGCTGTGTTTAATGGGGACAGAGTTTCAGATTCGCAGGATAAAGAAAGTTCAGGAGATGGGTGGTGGTACACGCTGCCCGCCAATGTCAGTATGTGTAATGCTACCGAACTGTGCACTTAGAAAGGGTTACGATGATCAATTTTATGTCTTTTTTGCCATAATTAAAAATATAAACACATACACACGCACACAAAGCCTCAGAAATAACAATTTTTTCTCACACAAATGGGATAAAAATACATATGTAGTTTTATAAATATGTGCCACTACCTAGAGAGCTAACGTATTTTCTTGAAGACTGCATGGTTTTCCAGAGTATGTGCTTATCTGTCCTTCTTACACATTCTAGCTGCCCATTTTCTCCACTGCAGACACCACTGCCATGAACATCTTTGTACAACTGTGTTTTTATAAGACAGATTCCTGGAAGTAGGATTACTAGCTCAAAGGATACACGTCTCTTAAACATTGATATTTATTGCAAAGCTGACCTCCAAAAGGCTCTACCACTTTACATTCTCACTAATATGTCCCTACGGGCCCACTTCCCATTCTCTTAACCCTCAACTAGAGAATTCTGGAGAAAGAAAACACATAACAAAACTACTGTCCAGATTTATTGAAAAAGATAACCAGATCATGTTCAATTATACATTTAATTTGTCATTAGACATGAGAATGCATTCTAAACTGATTTCTGACAGTGGTATAGCTGAGTTAACACAGCCAAACTGTGTTTTCTACAAATCAAAGAAACACTTTCATCAAAGTTGAACTAGTGATAGAAATATACAACAATATAGAAAACTCACATTTAAAAAAAATGAATATTGTTATAATTAATAATGATTAATAGGTGTCAATTAAAAGATCTAACAGAAGTGAGGCTTTTTCCCATCTATACTATGTCTGCCTTCGGCTCAGGTCATGATTTCAGGGTCCTGGGATCGAGCCTGTGTCAGGCTCCCTGCTCAGTGGGGAGTCTGCTTCTCCCTCTGCCCTCCCCACCCCCACCCCCTCGGCTTGTGCACACTCTCTCTCTCTCTCAAATAAATAAATAAAATATTTATTAAAAATAAAAAAGAAGGAGAGATAAAGAGTTTCCCAGGCGAACAAAACTAAAGGAGCTCATCATCACTAAACCAAAGCTGCAAGAAATATTACAGGGGACTCCTTGAGTGAAAAGGAAAGACCAAAAATGACGGTATGAAGAGAGGTAATACAAAAGCAGTAAAAATGAATATTTCTGTAAAAAATAGTCAAGGAACTCACAAAATAAGAGGATGTAAAATATTACACCATATACCTAAAATGTGGGAAGGAAAGGAGTAAAGAACTTAAACGACCATCAACTTAATATAGACTGCTATATGCAGAAGATGTTATGTATCGACCTAATGGTAACCACAAATCAAAAACCACTAATAAATATGCAAAAAATAAAGAGACATAAATTCAAATATATCACTAAGGAAAACCAACAAATCATGAAAGAGAGAAAGACAAGAAAGGATCAGAGAAAATCTTCAGAAACAGCCACAAAACAAGTAATAAAATGGTAATAAATACATATCTATCAATAACTACTTTGAACGTAAATGAACTAAATGCTTCAATCAAAAGACATAGGGAGTCAGAATGGATAAGAAAAGAAGCCCCATCTATATGCTGCCTACAAGGGACTCATTGTAGACCTAAAGACATCAGCAGATTGAAAGTGAGGGGATGGAGAAATATCTATCATGCAAATGTTTGTCAAAAGAAAGCCAGAGTAGCAATACTTACATCAGACAAAACAGACTTTAAAACAAAGACTATAATAAGAACAAAGAAGGACATTATATAATAAATAATAAAGGGGGCAATCCTACAAGAAGATATAACAATTGTAAATATTTATGCATCCAACCTGGAAGCACCCAAATACATAAAACAGTTAATAACAAACATAAAGGATCTAATCAATAATAATGCAATAATATTAGGGAAATTTAACTCCCCACTCACATCAATGGACAGATTATCTAAACAGAAAATCAACAAGGAAACATTGGCTTTGAATGACACATTGGACAAGATGAATTTAACAGATATATTCAGAACATTCCATCCTCAAAGAGCAGAATACCCATTCTTTTCAAGTGCACATGGAACACTCTCCAGAAAAGATCACATATTAGGCCACAAACCAAGCCTTAACAAACTTAAAAAGATCTAAGTCATACTGTGTATCTTTTCTGACACAACACTATGAAACTAGAAGTCAACCACAAGAAAAAATATGGAAAGACCACAAATACAAGGAGGTTAAATACCATGCTGCTAAACAATGAATGGGTCAACCAGGAAATAAAAGATGAAATAAAAAAGCACATGGAAACAAACGCAAATGAAAACACCAGAGTTCAAAACCTTTGGGAAGCAGCAAAAGTGGCTATAAGAGGGAAGTTTATAGCAATACAGGCCTACTTCAAAAAGCAAGAAAAATCTCAAATAAATAACCTAACCTTACATCTAAGGGAGCTGGAAAAAGAACAACAACAACAACAAAAACCTAAAACCAACAGGAAGAAGGAAATAATAAATATTAGAGCAGAAATAAATGATATAGAAACTAAAAAACCAATAGAACAGATCAATGAAACCACGAGCTGGTTCTTTGAAAAAAATCAATAAAATTGATTAACCTCTTGGGGCACCTGGGTGGCTCAGTTGGTTAAGCAGCTGCCTTTGGCTCAGGTCATGATCCTTGGGTCCTGGGATCAAGCCCCACGTCTGGCTCCCTGCTCAGTGGAGAGCCTGCTTCTCCCTCTCCCTCTGCCTGCCACTCTGCCTACTTGTGCTCTCTCTCTCTCTCTGTCAAATAAATAAATAAAATCTTTAAAAAAAAATTGATTAACCTCTTATTTGTATAAAGGATCCAAATAAATAAAATCACAAATGAGAGAGGATAAATACCAACAAACACCACAGAAGTACAAACAATTATAAGAGAATATTACGAAAAACTATGCCAACAAATTGGACAATGTAGAAGAAATGGATAAATTCCTAGAAACATATAAACTACCAAAACTGAAACAGGAAGAAACAGAAAATCTGAACACACCAATTACCAGCAAAGAAATTGAATCCATAATAATAATAATAATTTAAAAAAAAAAAAAAAAACTCCTAACAAAAGTCCAGGACCAGATGGTTTCACAGGTGAATTCTACCAAACATTTAAAGAAGAATTAACATCTATTCCTTTCAAACAATTCCAAAAAATGGAAAAGGAAGGAAAATTTCCAAATTCATTCTATGAGGCCAGCATTACCCTGATACCAAAACCAGATAAAGACACCACAAAAAAAGAGAACTACAAGGGCGCCTGGGTGGCTCAGTTGGTTAAGCGACTGCCTTCGGCTCAGGTCATGATCCCAGGGTCCTGGGATCGAGTCCCACATCGGGCTCCCGGCTCGGCGGGAAGCCTGCTTCTCCCTCTCCCACTCCCCCTGCTTGTGTTCCTGCTCTCGCTGTCTCTGTCTCTGTCAAATAAATAAATAAATAAAAATCTTTAAAAAAAAATAAAATAAAATAAAAAAAAAAAAAAAGAGAACTACAAGCCAATATCTCTGATGAACACAAATGCAAAAATCTTCAACAAAATACTAGCTAACCAAACCCCAAAATACATTGAAAAAAAAAAATCAGGGCGCCTGGGTGGCTCAGATGGTTAAGCGTCTGCCTTCGGCTCAGGTCATGATCCCAGGGTCCTGGGATCGAGTCCCGCATCCGGCTTCCCGCTCCTTGGGAGCCTGCTTCTCTCTCTGTCTCTCATGAATAAATAAATAAAATCTTAAAAAAAAAAAAAATTTAAAAAAAAAGAAAAAAAATCATTCACAATCATTCACAATCAAGTGGGCTTTATTCCTGGGTTGCAAAGGTAGTTCAATATTCACAAATCAATCAATATGATGTATCACATCAACAAGAGAAAGGAGAAAAACCATATGATCATTTCAACAGACACAGAAAAAGCATCTGACAAAGTACAACATCCATTCATGATAAAAAAAAAAAACCCTCAACAAAGTAGGTTTAAAGAGAACACACCTCAACATAATAAAGGCCACATATGAAAAACTCACAGCTAACATCATCCCCAATGGGGAAAAACAGAGCTCTTCCTCTGCAGTTAGGAACAAAACAGTGATGTCCACTCTCACCACTTTTATTCAACATAGTACTAGAAGTCCTAGCCACAGCAATCAGACAAGTAAAAGGAATAAAGGGCACCCAGATTGGTAAAGAAGAAGTAAAACTTTCACTATTTGCAGATGACATGATGCTATATATAGAAAACCCTAAGGACTCCACCAAAAAACTACTAGAACTGATAAATGAATTCAGTAAGGTTGCAGTATACAAAATCGATGTATAGAAACCAATTGAATTTCTATACACCAATAATGAAACAGCAGAAAGAAAAATTAAGAAAACAATCCCATTTATAATTATACCAAAAATAATAAAATACTTAGGAATAAGCTCAACCAAGGAAGTGAAAAGCCTGTACTCTGAAAATTTTAAAACACTGACAAAAGAAATTGAAGACGATGTAAACAGATGGAAAGATATTCCATGCTCATGGATTGGAAGAACAGATATTGTTAAAATGTCTAAGCTACTGCAAGCAATCTACAGATTTAATGCATTCCCTATCAAAATATCAACAACATTTTTCACAGAACTAGAAGAAATAATCTTAAAATTGATATGGAACCACAAAGACCCCAAATAGCCAAAGCAATCTTGAAAAAGAAAAACAAAGCTGGAAGTATCACAATTCCAGATTTCAAGATATAATACAAAGCTGAAGTAATCAAAACAGTATGGTACTGGCACAAAAACAGACACACAAATCAACAGAACAGAACAGAAAACCCACAATTATATTATAATCAATTAGTCTTGGACAAAGGAGGCAAGAATATGCAATGGGAAAAAGATGGTCTCTTCGACAAATGGTGTTAGGAAAACTGGACCACTTTCTTACACCATACACAAAAATAAACTCAAAATGGATTAAAGACCTAAATGTGAGGCCTGAAACCATAAAAATCCCAGAAGACAGCACAGGCAATAATTTTTCTGACACAGGCCATAGCAACTTTTTTCTAGATATGTCTCCTGAGGCAAGGGAAACAAGCAAAAATTAAGTCTTGGGATTACATCAAAATAAAAAGCTTCTGCACAGGGAAGGAAACAATCAATAAAACAAAAAGATAACCTACTGAATGGGAGAAGATATTTACAAATGACACATACAATAAAGACTTAGTATCCAACATATATAAAGAACTTCTAAAACTCAACCCCCAAGAGACAAATCATCTGATTAGAAATAGGCAGAAGACATGAACAGACATTTCTGCAAAGAAGACACACAGATGGCCAACACACACATGAAAAGATGCTCAACATCCCTCATCATCAGGGAAATGCAAATCAAAACCACAGTGAGATACCACCTCACACCTGTCAGATGGCTAAAATCAACAACACAAGAAAGAACAAGTGTTGGTGAGGATGTGGAGAAAAAGGAACCATGCACTGTTGGTGGGAATGCAAACTGGTGTGGTCACTGTGGAAGACAGTATGGAGGTTCCTCAAAAAATTAAAAATAGAAATACCATACGATCCAATAATCACACTACTGGGTATTCACCCAAAGAATATGAGAACACCTAATGCAAAGGGATACATGCACCCCTATGTTTATTGCAGCATTAATTACAATAGCCAAACTATGGAAGCAGCCTAAGGTCCATCAAGTGATGAATGGATAAAGAAGAGGTGATATATATATACAATGGAATACTATTCAGCCATAAAAAGAATGAAATCTTGCCATTTGCAACAACACGGATGGATCTAGAGAGTATAATGCTAAACGAAATAAGTTAGTCAGAGAAAGACAAAGACCATATGATTTCACTCATATGTGGAATTTAAGAAACAAAACAAATGAGCAAAGGGAAAAAAAGAGAGCGACAAAGCAAGAAACAGACCCTTAACTATGGAGAACAGACTAACCAGAGGGAGGTGGTGGGGGGATGGATGAAATAGGTGATGGGGATTAAGAAGGGCACTTGTTGTGATGGGCACTGGGTGATTAAAATTAAAACTTAAAAAAAACTCATGGGGAAAATTAAAACAATGTTTCATGTTTTGACTAATTATTGTGAATACAGTTATAAAATAATGTCAACGTCAAAATTATTTTTAAGGTAAGAAAGGTTTATTTCTATTGTCAAAAAAATAAAAAATATGGGCGCCTGGGTGGCTCAGTTGGTTAAGCAACTGCCTTCGGCTCAGGTCATGATCCCGGAGTCCTGGGATCGAGTCCCACATCGGGCTCCGGGCTCAGCGGGGAGCCTGCTTCTCCCTCTGACCCTCTCCCCTCTCATGCTGTTTCTCTGTCTCTCTCTCTTTCTCTCAAATAAATAAATAAATAAAATCTTTAAAAAAAAGAAAAAAGAAGAAGGATTTCACCGGCTCCTTGAACAAATTAAAAAAAATAAAATAAAAAAATAAAAAAAAGAAATCTATTCAGTGATTTCAGTTAAAAAAAAATGGAATTAGGTATCTTCCCAATTACTGGGGGTGCCTACAAACATGTGGATGCTGTAGCGGCTGTGCTGGAAAAGAATGATCTAGGAGCCATGGTACTGATGCTGGAGGCCAAGGCAAGCACAGGCTTTAGAGTCAAAACCTATCTGGTCCGAAGCACACCTCTGGCACCACTGGTTGCGTGTGCCTCTTCGTGCTCACTTGCCAGTCCACTGGCCTTCCCCGCCCCCTGCCCCCGCACTCTATCTTTTGCACCAGTGAGCTTCCCCATCTTGATGGCCCTACCATCTTCAGTGAGCTGGGCTCAGAATCTGAACATTTTGGACTCATTCTCACTACACTATTCTCCAACCCCAGTCTCTCCATGTTTGATTCCTAGCTCTCGCACTTAACAAGCTGTGTAACCTTTGGTGAGCCACTTAACCGCTCTGATGTTCAGTCTTACCAATGTACCCACCTCATAGGACTGTTGTATTACATGTACATGGCCTAGAGCGGTATTCACTAAGTGTTAGCTATCCTTGTGACTGTTCTCCTCCAACCCTACAACACAGGGGCCCCCCAGGGTTTAGGACTTCTAACAGCCTACAAAAGGGAAATCGTGTGAAGAGAAGCAGGTTACGGCTCTAATTTCAGGGACATACTAAACTGTAAGAATCTACTGAATGAAAAAGCATAAAACCTAAGACCCATTAAAGCTGTTAGGGAAAAAAATGTTATTTTCAGTCCAAGATAAATAAAATTCTCTAATGCTGTATTCTGTTTGAGGAAACATAGAAACTTTTAAATTCTTTGAATTAATTTTCTAAGAGATTTGTTAATTTCCTCACCCACTCAAAAGAAAATGCATAAGAGGAATATTTATAAGAAATTAAAGATTTTAACATACTTGCTATATGTTATCCAACTAAGTGAGAAGGGCTATGTCCTCTAATTATTTAAGTAAGCATTAATAAATCTTTGCACCTAAGGAAGAAAACACACCTCGGCACCGAAGAACATGTCTAAGATTTGCAGTCCACAGTTTCTCCGGTCCTCATCCGCAGCCACTTCATATTCCGCCTGACGGTAGAGAGGAGAACAAAGAAAAATAGTAGTGGAGCTTCTTCACTGACTTCACGGTGTTTCGAATTCTCTGACATCCAGAACTGGCTGGGTACCCTGAGAACCACAGAGCAGCTCTAACTGATTTGATATTGATCAAGCATCTGCAGCACTTCTTTGGGAAAACTAATGGCAATGAAGGGGAAAAAGTTTTCTTTGAGGGGTGAATAATGCCGTAGCACAACACATCCCACAGTGCTCTGTCTGTCATATTACACTTTCAGCCCTTCAATGTGGCCAAATAAAATAGAATCAAATAAACAGCTTGCATTGCTCTAGGCAACAGCATTTTAGAAATGTCTAAGAGGCACGTGGCAAACCTGAGCGCAGAGCTCCCAGAGAAGTCAGAGTTGGCAACACCAAAGCAGGAGACGTCCCTACGCAGGTGTCAGGCGGGGGACGGTAAGAGAGGATACTACCACGTAGGCCAGAAACCAGAAGAAGGGTCAAGGCAGAACTTGATCAATTATCTAAACCTCTACAAAGGATAAGCAAGGAAGAAACTGAAAAGAGAGAAAACCTGAGGAGAGATCATAAAAGCCTGGCTAAGAGTATTTCAAGCAGAGGTACTCCACAATGTCAACAGACTTGGAGACTCAGGCACGAGGAGGCCTCAGTGAAGCCACTGGATCCTGCAGGTCAGGGCCTGAGAAGAGCAGCGAAGCTAACAGCCAGATGGGCTTGGAGAGATTGGTGAGGAAACCAAGACTGAAGGAAGTTCATGTACTGAACACGTAAAGTCCTTGTTGGCAGGAGTCGCACCTCGTACTTGATTCTGCCTCCTCCGTGGGCCCAGCACAGGAGCCATGGCTGACAGGCTGACGACCAGTCAGAGCCAGCTTCGTGTTCTATGTTCAAAGGCACTGTATTCACCTGGACTAGTAACTAGACCCTGCTGACTTAGAGAACCTTCCAGCTTACGTTCTGGATGCTGGATGGCATGCAATCAATGGAAAAGAAAGCACTGGGATTTTGTGATGGTCTTTCCACGTGCCAACCTGGCAGGAATAATGTCCAGTAGTTGTTCAAATATTAATCTAGTCATTGCTGTGCTGGTATTTGTAGGTGTGATTAAAGTCTTTACCAGTTGACTTTAAGTAAAGGAGATTATTTTAGAGAATCTGGGTGGGTCTGATTCAATCAGTTGAAAGGCATTAAAACCACAGCTGAGGCTTCTGGAAGGAATTCTGCCTGAGGACAGCAGCTTCACTCCATGTTTGGAGGATTCCCTCCTGTCCTATAGATTTAAGACTCTCCTAACCAGGCCTCACGATTGTGTAAGCCAATTCCTTGCAACAAACCTCTTAATAAATCTCTCCTATTGGTTGTTTCTCTCACTGAACACTAATTGCCAAAGATGCCATTAATTCAGTCAACAAACACTAAGCAGAAAAGAGCAAACAATCATGCCAGGTGCCATGAGGGAAATAGATAAGATGCAGTCTCTCCACTCCCAGAGCTCCAAGAACCTGCAATCATATACCACAAGGACAGTCCAAGCAGCGAGGACTGTGCAAATGGCATAATTAGGTGTTACTTATTAACCCACACAGCTGCCGTCAAAAACAAAACAAAACACAGAACAGAACCTGTCACTGAACCTGTCAACTGGCAGTCACCTAACAAGTAATAGGTCTCGTGTCACTATGAGAAGATCCAAACCTGAACGAACGTTAACAATGCAGTTTAGCCATTTTGAAATAAAGAACTGTAGGTCCCTAAACTTTTAAAATAGAGCAGCTTGGCAAATGTAACCCCATACACTAAGCCACATCTATATTCTACTCCTGGAACTGACAAGGCCTACCCCACTACACCAGAGTTCCAGCTTTAAAAAAATTACCACCTTTCAAAGCCTTGTCTTATTCTAGTAAAGACACCAGGAAGGAAAGGGCTGGGGAGCTCCACAGAGGATAGGCAAGAGCCTCAAATGTTTTTCTGAAAGAATACAGGCATACCTCGTTTTATTGTGCTCTGCTTTCTTGCACTTCACAGACAATGCATTTCTTTACAAATTGAAGGTCTGTAACAACACTGTGGCCAACAAGTCTATTGGTGCCCTTTTTCCAACAGCATTTGCTTATGTCATGTCTCTGTGTCATAATATGGAAATTCTCCCAATATTTCAAACCTTTTCATTACTATTATGTTCGTTTTGGTGATGTGTGATCAGTGATTTTTGATGTTAGTTGTAACTGTTTTGGGGCTACCTGAACCACACTATATATGGCAGTGAACTTAAATAATAAATATTCTGTGTGTTCTGACTGCTCCACTGACCAGCCTTTCCCTTCTTTCCCTCTCCTCGGGCCTCCCAATTCATCAAGACACAATATTGAAATTAGGCCAATTAATAACCCTATGATGGCCTCTAGGGGCGCCTGGGTGGCTCAGTCAGTTAAGCCTCTGCCTTCGGCTCAGGTCGTGATCCCAGGGTCCTGGGATCGAGCCCCACATCAGGCTCCCTGCTCAGCTCGGAGTCTGCTTCTTCCTCTGCCCCTCCCCACCATCATGCGCACGCCCGCTCACTCTCTCCCTCTCTCATAAATAAAATCTTTTTTAAAAAAAAACCTATAATGACATCTAAGTGTTCAAGTGAAAGAGTCAATCAATGTTGCAAACTTCTATCTTGTCTTATTTTAAGAAACTGTCACAGACACCCCAACCTTCAGCAAACCCTACCCTGACCAGCCAGCAGCCACCAACATCCAGGCAGGACCCCCACCAGCAAAAAAGATGATGCCTCACTGAAAGGTCAGAGTATGGTTAGCATTTTCCAGCGACAGAGTATTTTTTAATTAAGGAGGGAACATTGTTTTTTTTTTTAGATTACTGTTATTGTACGGTTAATAGATTACAGTATAGTGTAGACATAAGTTTTATATGCAATGGGACACAAAAAAACTCATTTGACTTGATTCATTGCAACGTTCGCTTCATTGCCAGGTCTATACCCGGACCCATGGTACCTCTGAGTGTGCCCGCACTGACCATTTGTTGGAAGGAGGATCATCTGCTTCCAGACTCCAGCTGACCGCAGGTAACTGAAACCACGGAAAGCAAGACCGCAGATAAGGGGAAATATTATATAGGGATTTCCATACCAAGGTAGCATGACACCAAGAAACTAGTTTATCCGCTCTTACCATTATTGCCAAGGTCTACTTAACTTAGAGAGACCTAAGTTTTTAGATCTAGTCTGTTAATTTTCAAAAGCACAAGACTAGGTAGTTCAACACTGAGATACATTGCTTACCACTGCATCCAGGAATTCAATGCATCCTTTTAGATCATGTTGTGTATCACAGAATTCCCTGAAGAGAAGTCTTCCTATTGGTTGCTTGTCACAAAGACTGCTATAATCCTTTTCTGGGTGAAGAAAGGGGATAAGAAATAAACCAATATGATTGTTACAATTCAGAAAGTGCTTTCTGAACTTGTTTTCACCTGATAAAGTAAAAGTCAAAAATAGTATTTATGGGGTTTTTTTTAAACTACTTGATTGTTTACTAATGTAGACTGGGTCATCATGAATATTTATAATACCTGGATAGAGCCAAAGGAGCTGGAAGAATTGATAAATAAAGGTGTGTGAAGCATACCTGGAAATGTCCCCGCTCCCCTCCTCCAAAAGGAATTATGCAGGGGAGAGGTATTCCTGGGGAACTGAGCAGTCAAGATCACAGCAAAGGAAGAGAGGGGCAAAAAGGAGATCTGGCTCCATCCTTCCCCAGGCCTAACCCCCATGTGTTTGGCAGAAACTGCACATACGTGAAATACACCACAGGCATGTACTCAAGCACCTTTTTTAAAACTCTTTTCCATTTTGCTATCTTTCTACACTTTTACAAGTTACAAACATTACATATGCTTAATTATTTTTAAACTGCTCTTGGGGTTTTTTTTCTCTTCAGTGGGGTAGTATGTTATATACCTTAACCTTACCACACACACTGGTATTGTTTTGAGAACAAGGCACTAATATTTAGTCAAAATATCAAGAGGGATATAAAACAAAAATGTCATGTTCAAAATAGGTTAACTTAAACATCAGCAAGAAAATCAGTTGCTCTTTCAGCAGTGGCTCTGAACCTGAAATGAACATTATATCAAAGTACTCCTAAAGTGGCTCTAAAGCTGAAGAATTAAATAAAATTCATGAAAAGTAAGAAGCCATAACAAATTCCTCAATTAAAGGGTTTATTCATGCCAAGTAGTTCTAAGAATCTAAACAGCCCTACTTTAGGTGGCTGAGTTTGAAATGGAAAAGTACAGGCAAGGAGAGAAATATTTTGGTTGCCAGGACACAATCGCTTGTTTCAACAAACATAGTTTTGCAAAATTTCTACCACCTACTTTGTCCAATTTTATTACCACATTTTATTTTTGGGATACTATATTTAAAAAACAAAAGACACAGGCAGTCAAAAAGTGACACTTTTACAATACTGAGAGTTTTAACACTTTCCTCCCAAATTCAAGGGTTCAAGAATGTTCCTAGTTTCCAGCTAAGGATTGCAAAGGGAGCATACAGGTCTGCCTACTTTTTCTCTGAGATTCCTACGGAAATGACCAAAAATTCAAACAAAAACCAAAGCCACAACAAAAAGAATGAAACCCAACATGGAAAACGAATACAGGGCACCCACAGGAGTCCGAAATTTGAGGATTACCCGGAAGAGAAAAAGCCGCTGGGTTGGACGGTTAAAGAACCCTCAGCTTAAAGCCTACAGAAGAGCTGGACTTCCTAAGGGAGCCCCGCCCACACGCCTAGAGCCCAGCGGGGGTGGGGGGGTGGGGGGGGTGGGGGGGTGTCCAAGTCCTGATCAGAATGACTGGCTAAGGGCCTAAGATTTAGAGGCCCCACTAAGTGCTAAACATAACCAATGACGGCTGACCCACATCCAGAGGCATCCCGGTGACATTCCCAACAGTAAGGAGAAAGGAGGAAACCTCTGAGAAAGAGCAAAACATTCACTACAACACATAAAGCATCAGAGATGCTGTATTAACAAAGCCAGAAACTAGTACACCAGTGTTTTCAAAGTTCAGGGGTCAAGGGAGGCAGAAATATTCAATTCTGTAACTATCAAACAAGAAGTCAAAAAAGGGATATTTTCCAAAATTTAAAAACTCAGAAACTTTACCTTCCATTCACCCTATATAAAAAAAAAAGAATTCTAAAAAAAAAAAAAAAAAAAGAGGAAGAAGAAGAAGAATTACTTGAGGAGTTATAATAATAAAATAAAAGAATTTTAAAAAAGAATATAGAGGGGGTGCCTGGGAGGCTCAGTCGTTAAGCGTCTGCCTTCTGCTCAGGTCATGATCCCAGGGTCCTGGGATGGAGCCCCGCACCGGGCTCCCAGCTCAGCGGGAAGCCTGCTTCTCCTTCTCCCACTCCCCCTGCTTGTGTTCCCTCTCTCGCTGTGTCTCTCTCTGTCAAATTAAAAAAGAAAGAAAGAAAATAGAAACCAAAATGGACAAATAGTGGGTATAATCTAGAAGAAGCAAAGAAATATAGAAAAATAAATAACCCTATCAAGATATTGGGAATACTATCCTTGGCAAAGTGTGATCAGTGCAGAATAGTTTCCCTTTATTGGCTCCAACCACACTTGCTCGCTTCCAGATCACATGGAATATAATTATAATATGTACTACTGTACCATATTTTAACTCTTAAAATAGTCTGTGGACCAAGAGACATAGAAGGTAAGTGACTGACCCAACAAATAGTTCAGAGTGGCTGAAAAAGGGGACTCAGGGAAGCAAAATGTAGAGGCAAACGAAGCTTTACAAAACTGCAGGAAAAAAAAAAAAGACTGGGATCGTATTTTCCACAAGCCTTGATATCATACCAAGGAACTCTCTCTACCTTAGAAGGAACAGAGCATAATAACTAGTGATGACGCTTCTTCACCTGTCACAGTGTGTCAGATACTATTTTGAGTCCTTTCTGTGTATTATTTCACTGACTCTTCACAACAGTAGGTTTAGCATCTTAAGGAAAGCAGAGACCTTTTGGGAAGTGCTCACTCCTGAGGGCCACCTAGAACCCGGGGCAGTGAGAGGAAGTGGGGCAGCAGAGGTTGGGGCCAGGGGACCAGCCGGCAGGAAGACCAGCTGGACCGGAACAAAGGCAGCACAGTGGGAACGAAGAGGCCAATTCTCTGGTGACAAAAGAATTTCAGAAGGCAACTCATTCAAATTCTGTCAAGTCTCCTGCTTAACAGTGAAGAAATTACGACAGGAACCACAGGAGCCCTATTCTCAAGGAACCCATCCTCTACTGAGGGGACAATGAGGAAGCTGATGGGGTAAACAGGTGGAAGGCAGTGCCCCTCATGGAGATGAGAACCTGTGAGCAGAACAGTCCCAGACTCGGGCTCGTACTGTGGGCAACAAGATCTGTATTGTGTAGGCAGCACTGGGGAAATCAAGATCATTCGCTGGTAGAAAACAGAAGGAGGGGCCGGTTGGGCCCCGTGAGCAGAGGAAGGGGCTGCAAAGCAGAGAGCCAGAGTTACAGATGTGGGGTAGGAGACCCCTTTGAGACACCTAGGGTTGCAGAATTGCTCCACAGCCTGGGAGAGCTGGGGAGGACGCCATGGCAGGGGGTCAGGAGGGAACAGCCTGACCAGGGAGAAAACAGTGTACTCCAAATTAACCTGGCTTATTTGGCAAAGCCAAATGTCTGAAGTTTAAGTTTATTTGGGGTGTGTTGGGGGGGTAGCTGTGGATATATTTCAGTTTGTTTTGCATTTTATATTTATATCATCCTCAGATACTAAAAAATACTTGCTTGTTAGAGATGGATTCCATTCAAGCTTTCCAGATTTATTTCTGGATTACCCTTAATTTTATCCAGAACTCTTAGCTGCTAGATCTGAGTCCTTATTTGTAAAGGAAGCTACAAGTCTGAATTTAGGCGCAAGCAGGAAGAACATAAGATTATTCACACATTTTAAGTCTATATCCTAAAGCTCAGATACTATGTAAATTTCTATCATAACTATAAAATTTCTTGAGTAAATGATCACATGATGTAGGCCACATTTTCTAAAAGATCTTTAAAAACATAAACACACGGTAAGAGCCCCTTGGGTTTTTCCAGAAGGAAGCAGGGCAAAATCAAAGAGCATGAGGAGGTCTGAGACAAGACCAGCACCTCACACCCCTCTGGAAAATGAGACCGCGGCCCTGCGCCCACAGCGCCAGATCAGTGAAGTAAATGAAGGGTCTTAGGACACCACTGGGCTGAGAAGGCCCGATCAATGGCAGTTTGGTCCTGGGGACAGGACGGTCCTGCAGTGTGATGGGAAACAATGGAGACATTCAGACTGGACAGCATTGATACGGGCACATCACGAGAGGAAAGCCTCTCATTTTACCCGGGCCAGTTTTTTTAGATTGGCTCAGGTACAATAGCAAAAATGATGTGTGGTTCAAAAAGACCTTAATTCTAAAATCTTCCACTTATATTTGGGTGGTGGGAACATAGGTGATGATTTACTCAGTAAAGTCCTTTAATTATGTCAAAATATTTCATCACGCATACAATCTCCTCCATCCTACAGCAATTTAAAATTTTCACCCTGGGGGCACCTGGGTGGCTCAGTCGTAAAGCGTCTGCCTTCGGCTCAGGTCATGATCCCAGGGTCCTGGGATCGAGCCCCGCATCGGGCTCCCTGCTCAGCGGGAAGCCTGCTTCTCCGTCTCCCAGTCCCCCTGCTTGTGTTCCCTCTCTAGCTGTGTCTCTCTCTGTCAAATGAATAAATAAAAAATCTTTAAAAAAAAAAAAATTTTTCACCCCGATGACATTAACAGAATCTTAGAGCAAATGACAGCAACATAACAGAACCTATATGAAGTAATATACAGGGAATTAAAAAAAAAAATGTTTCTCTAAATCAAACTTTAAAAATCTGACATTTAAATAATCACAAAAACTTTAAACCTATTACTTTTTACCTTATCTGGCTCACAATTCTATTAATGATTTCACTTTTCCATGCATTAGATTTCACATATTACTAAAATTAAATACCATATACCACAGAAATACGTCACAAATACGTCTCAGAAACCGCAGACAGCCTCCTTCTGTCTTCCCCTCAGAGGCCCTGGTCCTGCAGGAACCAGAAGATCCAGCTTCTTCTTTTGACCCCTCAGAGACTACACAGTGAACCATCTACTGTTCCAGCCCTGAATGAGCAGAAATGGGGGAAGAGAGAGAGGCCATGCCACACAGGGAATTCAGGCCACAGGGAGGGAAGAGTCTGACCACAGTGGACAGGGAGAACCAGCACAGAAGCCCTCTGGGGCTGGAACACTCAGTGCACCAGAGTCGAAGTCCACTCCTGAGAGGCACTCTCCTGATGGGCCGTGTTGGAAAGGGAACCAGCTAATCAAGAGACTGGTGTTTCTAAATATACCAAATTCTGAGGCAAGGATGAGCCATTTATCAGAAGCTCTCTCTCTTATTTTCAAAGTGATCCTCCTTTAGAAAGGACACTAAGTCAAAGTTTTATAGCTCATGGATTCTCCAGCATCCACAAATTTAGAACAACCAAAGGATAAAAATTAGAAAACCCAAAATATGCTTACTACCACACTAAATCAAATGCATATGTAAACTAATAAAATAAAGAACTGCATACCAAGTAGAGGGTATCTGAATGGAAACATTCTTTTATTCCGTGAGGAAGTCTGCTTGTACATCTGCCCTGAAGCAACTCTAGCTAAGGTCACCAATTTATTCATTCATTTAACAAAACTGTGGCTGAGCACTGTTCTAGAGATGGAAACAAAGACCCTGACCTTGGGGGCAAAGCCAGCAGCCGCTCAACTGTTCTTCAACATGCCCACCTGCCTGGAGCCATCCTAGTCCTCAGTTGTCTCGACCCCTCTGCTCTCCAGACTGCATACAGACCCATCTGGCTGCTCCTCCTTGGTCTGTTTCACCTGAGCCAGACCAGGATGTCAGGATGTGAGGGCCCTTTCCCTGTCCTCCTGTCTCTAGGGAGAGCTTATATACTCCCAGTCGTGTGACTCCTAAATGCCAGGGACACACAGATATCTCCCAGATTGCACCTACAGCCCAGACTCTTTTTTTTTTTTTTAAAGATTTTATTTTTTTATTTATTTGACAGAGAGAGACACAGCGAGAGAGGGAACACAAGCAGGGGGAGTGGGAGAGGGAGAAGCAGGCTTCCCGCGGAGCAGGGAGCCCGATGTGGGGCTCGATCCCAGGACCCTGGGATCATGACCTGAGCCAAAGGCAGACGCTTAATGACTGAGCCACCCAGGCGCCCCTCAGCCCAGACTTTTCTGATCTCTAAACATGAATGTACAGATTCCATCCAACACAGCTCCTCACACCATGAACCTGATCTCAGTGGAAGGATCAGACCTGGAAGTCATCCTTAGCACCCCCATCCTTCCTACTTTCACACATAAATCAACCAGATTCCACTTCTTAAAGATCTCACATAGTCATTCGGTTCCATGGCCTCCAGCTGACACTGAATTTCCATCACTCTTGCCCGCACAAAAGCCAACAATCCTTTGGCCTCCCCCCTCCCCTTCTCCACACTCTCAATCACAGTCCTCACACTGAAGCCCGAGATGCCCTTCAGAAATGTGCATCCACTTAGGTCATCCCTCTGCTGAAAATCTGACGGCGTCAACTCTCAGCTAAGACAAATGCCCTTACCAGGACCATGAGCCCCACCTCCCTCCTTTCCTCTCATCCAGTGCCACTGTCCTTCTTCGTCTCCGCTCCAGAACACTGGCCTTTTTCATGTCCCTGGAAACTGCCATGCTCCGTCCCCCTTTGGGGTCCTGTACTTACCCAACAGTCTGTACCTTTTCCTTCAAAGGGCTTACTGCAGTTTGTAATTACGTGTATTTCTGCGATTCTTTATTTTATAACTATCTCTGCCAAGAGGGCGGAGGTCACATCTGTTTCTTAGCCACTGAACTGGTAGTGCCATACCCAGTGCTGGGTACACGGAGTGAATAAATGATGACATTCGAAAGTTAACTGATAGTGTTGTATACCTTAAACTTACACAGTGTGGTATGTAAATTGCATCTCTCAACGAAAATAAAATATAAAATAAAATAAACTCTTTTTTAAAAAGAGCATGAACTGTGGGGAAAAAGTTAACTAATGGGACATTTAATGTAATTTACTTCATTCTATGCACTAAAACCTACCCCCAAAGAATCAGAAGCACACTGAGGTAATTAATATGCAAGGAGACATGAAAATGTTTCTATAACCCTATGAATATATTCAACAGCATAAATAGTCCCAAAGTAAAATTTATAATATCTTAATTACAATGCAAATGTCAAATAACGGAATCAACCTCCATACTAATCACTCGGTGCTATATGCAGAAAATACTATTAACACTATGGATCAAATATCAACTGGCTCCAAGAAGCACAGCCAATAATCAATAAAAAGATGCTCGACATCATTAGTCATTAGTGAAATGCAAATCACACTCACTAGGATGGCTATAATGAAAATAAGTGTTGGCAAGGATGTGGAGAACCTGAAACTCTCATATATTGCTGGTGGGAATGTAAAATATACAGCTGCTTTGGAAAACAGTTTGCCAGTTCCTAAAAAAGTGAAGCCTAGAGTTACTGTCTGTAACAGGCTGAATAATGGCCCTCCCAATGTATCAGGTCCTAAACCCTATAAATATGACCTTATTTTTAAAAAAGAGCCTTTGCAAATATGATTAACTCAAGGATCTTGAGATGGAAGACTGTCCTGGATTATCTGGGTGGGTCCTAAATACAAACACGTGTATCCTCACAAGTGTTTAGAAATAAACCCTCACCTTTATAGTCAGGTGATTTTTTTATAAAGGCACTAAGACAATTCAATGGTGAAAAAATCATCATTTCAATGAATGGTTCTGGAACAACAGGATATCCAATGCAAGAGAATGAAACTGGATCCCTACCTCACGCCATATACAAAAATTAATTCCTGGATCAAATACCTAAATGTGAGAGCTAAAACTATAAAACTATAAAACTCTTAGCAGAAAGTATAGGTGTAAATCTTTGTGACTTTGGATTAAGTAGTGGTTTCTTAGCTATGACACCAAAAGCACAGCAATAAAAGAAAAAAATAGATCCATTGGACTTCATCAAAATAAAAACTCGTGGGCGCCTGGGTGGCTCAGTCGGTTGAGCGACTGCCTTCGGCTCAGGTCATGATCCTGGAGTCCTGGGATCGAGTCCCGCATTGGGCTCCCTGCTCAGCGGGGAGTCTGCTTCTCCCTCTGACCCTCCCCCCTCTCATGTACTCGCTCTCTCTCATTCTCTCTGTCTCAAATAAATAAATAAAATCTTAAAAAATAAATAAAATAAAAATAAAAACTGGTGTTCCTCAAAGAACATCATCAAGAAAGTAAAGGAAAACAAAGAATGGGAGAATATATTTGGAAATCAAATATCTGATAAGAGTCTAGTAACTAGAAATATAAAGAACACTTACATTTCAACAATGAAAAGATAAACAATCCAATTAAAAAATGGTCAAAGAGGGTGCCTGGGTGTCTCAGTCAGTTAAGCAAGCATCCAACTCTTGATCTCAGGGTTGTGAGTTCAAGCCCCACATTGGGCTCCCCACGCTGGGCACAGAGCCTACTTAAAAAAAAAAAAAAAAATGGGCAAAAGATTTGAACACATATCTCTCCAAAGAAGATATACAAATGGCCAGTAAGTACATGAAAGGATATTCAACATAATTAGTCATTTTTGGGAAACACAGATCAAAACACAATGAGATCGGGGTGCCTGGCTGGCTCAGTCAGAGGATCATATGACTCTTGATCTCGGGGCTGTGAGTTCAAGCCCCATGCAGGGTGTAGAGATTACTTAAATAAGGAAAACTTAAAAAAAACACACACACAATGAAATACCACTTCACACCCACTCAGATTGCTATAATAAAAACAAAATGGAAAATAAAAAGTGTCAGGGAGGACATGAAGAAATTGGAATCCTCATATATTGTTGGTGGGAACATAAAATGGTGTAGCCACATTGGAAAACAGTCTGGCAGTGCCTCACAAAGTTAAACATAGAATTATCATATTATCCAGCAATTCTAATTCTGGGTATACACACAAAAGAATTGAAAGCAGGGACTCAAACATTTGTACACCAATGTTCCTAGCAGCATTATTCACAATAGCCAAATGGTAGAAACAACCCATTCAACAGATGAATGGATACACAAAATGTAGTACATACATACAATATCCAAATCAATGCCACTGAACTTTATATTTAAAAATCGTTAAAATATTTTAAAATGGTCAATCAGTTGGTTAAGCATCTGACTCTTGGTTTCAGCTAAGGTCATGATTTCAGGGTCATGAGATCAAGCCCCACGTCAACTCCATGCTCTGCACGGAGTCTGCTTGTCTCCCTCTCCCTTTGCCCCTCCCTGCCACATGTGCATGCTCGCTCTCTCAAATAAATAAAATCTTTTAAAAATGGTTAAAATGGTAATTTTTATGTTTACTCTACCACAAAGAAAACACTTGTATATGAATGTTTCTAGCAGCATTATTCATTTGGGTTTTTTTTAAAAGATTTTATTATTTATTTATTTATTTGACAAAGAGAGAGAGATAGTGAGAGCAGGAACACGAGCAGGGGGAGTAGGAGAGGGAGAAGCAGGCTTCTGGCAGAGCAGGGAGCCCGATGCGGGGCTCGATCCCAGGACCCTGGGATCATGACCTGAGCCGAAGGCAGATGCTTAACGACTGAGCCACCCAGGCGCCCCTAGCAGCATTATTCATAATAGACAAAAAAATTTAAACAACTCATTGATCTACTGATGAATGGATAAGTAAGAAGTGATATATCCATACGATGAAATGTCATTTGCCAAGAAAAAGGAATTAAGTACTGATTCATGCTATAGCGGGGATGAACCTAGAAAACACTGTGTTCACTTCTAGAGATGATTAGTTGGGTCAAGGGGAGAGGAACTTTTACTATATTACTCTTCTGTTCTATGTAGAACAATGAGCACATATTACTTCTTAAAAGAATAGCATCTAACAAATGGTACAATGCCAGACATGATCTCCAGGCTGGCACTGCTTACTCACCAATGGAATGTCTAAGCTCGCTGCACTGGCTGACAGGGGGCAGCTTCAGCATTTCCCTCCATTTTTTACTACGACCACTTTTTTTGCCATAGCTTCCTAAATTTGGGGAAAAAAAGTATTTTTTTTAATGATCAGAAATATCCAACTATAACAACTATTTCCACTAATATATTCCGTTTGGTACCTATGGTGAGTGAAAATACAAGCTTATAATAATTTGTCTTATCTAGAAGGCATCTTGACAAGTAGAAAAAATCCCAAGTGATGCAATCAGTCACTGGCTTTATCATTTAGAAACCATGTGACCCTGACCTTCTATAACTAACTCTGCTGAGCCTAAGCTTCCAAATTTGTGAATTGGACCTAACATGACATATCATACATGGTTGCATCCCTACCATGGAGCAAATGCCTGCAAAGGACAGGAAATACAATGGTAAAAAGGACAACATCCCTCCCCTCCATTCTAGTGAGGGAGAGAGATTTTTTTTAAAAAGCAGGTAATGATAAGTGATTTAAAAAAATAGCCAATCATACAGTACTAAATGGTATACAACAAAATCAAGCAAGGCAAAGATGAAGGGTGCTACTAGGGCTAAGGTGAGATTAGAGAAGGTCTCTCAAAAGGGTCACACTTAGGCAGAGACCTGATGGGGGTGAGGGACTAAGCCTTGGAAAGATGTGGAAGCAAGACAAGAATGGTGGAAAAAGCTATTAGATGATATTTTAGCAGATTGCGGCTACACTGCAGTAAGCAAGGCATAAAGTATAGAGATAACGGAATCACTATATTGTACACCCAAAACTAATGCAACATTGTGTGTCAACTATATTCAAATAAAAGAAAATTTTTAATAAAGTAAAATAAAAATTTAAAAAGATAATATTTTAGAACTTTTTAAATAAGCCCCTTCAAACCAAACTCAAGAGAAATTAGAACCTTCAATTTTAAGCATTCTGAGGAGCTGAAATTTTATTAAATTTTATCCAAGAGAAAACATCACAGTTTTGGCCAGCGACTAAAAGACCTCAGGGCTATTGGAAAGAATAGAGAAATCGGGAGGAAAGCCATGTTCTAGGAAGTGATGAGCTCTGCCTTAAGCACGGTGAGTGAACCACTATGAGGGAAAGCCATCTGGAGGAGCTCAGGAGAGAAGGCCTGGCTAGAGGTACGGATTTGATAGTAGTCTGCCAAATAGATAATGCTCCTCTACCCACCCCTCCATTTCAACTGGGATCATGGTTCTAGACTTATATCCACTATGCAGAGGTCCCAGAGCACCTCAAGGTCAACAGGTTCAAATCTGACTCAATTGTCTTCCCCTCAAATTCAATCCTCTTTCCACACTATGCCTCCAGTTAACCATCTACTAGGCAAATGGAGCTGGAAACTGGGGCACTATCTAATTCTGTCTCTGAAGTGCCTCGCCCATTTATTCAGAAAGCATTTGCAGCCCAAGTCCTGTGTGCTGGGCACTGTCCAGGCACCAGGCATACAGCAGGTGGCCAGCCCTGCCTGCAAAGGTGCTCCTGTCCCCTGCTCTCCCTGCCCAGGCTAGTACCAAGGTCACTGGCCTCTTCTTCTGACAGGCCTTCCTACCTCCAGTCTTCCCTTCCAGACCCTCCTCCACACTACCTTCCACTGTTACCTTCCTAAAATGCAAGTATCAGCTCACTTCTGAGTCTAGAGCTGAAGGGAAAATAAAGCACAGCCCTGACATCATTCCACAGGCACACCATGCCAAAGCCACACTGTCTACGAAGGCCCCTAAGAAGCAAGAGCGGGTTCCCTCCAGGAACCATAAGTGTCTGGACTGTCACTCTGGCCTTATTAGTGTAGACAAATCTCTACTCAGCTCAAGCAGAACCCGCCCCCCCCCAAAGCCTACCCTGCCTTTCCTAGGGAGATGCAGGCACTTTCCTTTTCATGCCCTTTGCATCTTGAAAACATCTTCATTAAATCTCAGCAAGGGCAGGTTCTAGGTTCATGGTCTTATTCCCAGTGTATCTCCAGCATTCGAAACATGACTGAAGGGATGTAAGGGGGCTCCAGGTGCACTGCATACAGCAGACACTAAAGGGATGTTTGCTAACTTTGCGGAGACCTGAAAAATTGCAGATGCTGACTCTAGCACATGAGTCAGGTGGGGTGAAATTGCCAAGGTCTAGGAGGAGGAGGAGGAGTAAGAGTTAGATTTACTGAGTCTTTATCATGGACCAGACACTTTTCTAGGAGCTTCATATATATTGACTCATTGAATCATCCCTCACCCTATGATGAAAATACTACCACTATTCCCTTTTCTCAGATAAGGGACCAAAGCAAAGAGGCCAAATCACCTGTCCAACACCACACAACTAGTGAGATGTGTGGCTCTGCTCCAGGAATCCTGCTTAACCATTACTGCTATTAAGAAGCAAAATGGTGTAATCAAAGCCTTTTTAAAAAGTACACAAACATTTAAAATAAATTATTTGCCATAAACACATTTAGAAATTAAGCTGGGATTTGAGCCCACATAATCACACCGGCCAAACTGGGACACTACCTTTGTCATAACAGCTGTTTTACTATCAATAAACAGAACCACCAAGGTAAATGCATAATGTGAGAAAGAACTGGACCCTTGTCTACGAATTCTGCTGGATATTAAGGGGCTTGGGGGTCAGTTTTCTACTACGAATACCATAATTATTTTTATAACATATTCTATATTTCTGTAACATATATTATACACCATCCCTAGTCCCAGACCCACCAGAACCAATCACAATCATGAATTTGGTGTGTTTGTAAATGTGTGTGTGTGAGTGTGTACAGCCTTTAACAGTATATTGTTTTAGAGCAAGATTCCTAACCTGGCATTCACAGGCAGATATCAGGGTGTCCCAGAATTTGGACAGAAAAAAATCACCTTTAGCTTCACTAACTTCTAAGCAAAATTCAGCATTTCTTTCAGCCATAAATGCAGGCAAGAGTATTATAATATTAGTAGTATCTGTGACTTCATCACCAAGAGCATTCAGATTTTCCTATCACATCACAGTTGCTAGAGAGAACTCAAAATATTTATGCTCACACTACTTTGAAATTATCATAGAGGCACCAGACCAGCTGCCAGACTGTCTACAAGTACTCAGGTGATGGAGCCAAGCAACCCCTAAGCAGCTCTGTGCCTGGTAGTTAATTCTCCAGACTCTAAATGGCTAGGTCCTATGTTCTCACATGGATGGTCCAGCTACGTATTTTACTCTCTGTGACTCCCTACAACTGTGTTGATGGACACACAGAAGCAGGTGAGTCAAAGGCCATCCCACAGTTTAAAAGCCCCATTCAAACTAGCCATGATGGCCTTCACACTGATGGATCTTTAAAGGATGAAAACTTTAACTTGCTTATGTATTTATTGCCTTGTACTTAACTCTCTGATAACAGAGAACTTTCATAACACAAATCTGTTTTAAAAAATTTTACAATTATTTCAATATAGTTGACTTCTTTTACAATCACGTATTTTATTTTATTTAGATTAAGAACCCCTACTCTAGAGGTTGTTAAGAAAAATGGTGTGCCACTGGGGCGCCTGGGTGGCTCAGTCGGTTAAGCAGCTGCCTTTGGCTCAGGTCATGATCTGGAGTCCTGGGATCATGAGCCCCATGTCAGGCTCCCTGCTCAGAGGGGAGTCTGCTTCTCCCTCTGCCCTTCACCCTGCCCGTGCTCTCTTTCTCTCTCTCAAATAAATAAATAAAATCTTTTAAAAAAAAAAATGGTGTGCTACTGCAAACATCACTCTACAATTTGATTTTTTCCACACAGTTTAGTCCATTTTGACACAGATTGTTCACTGTCCCAGCCAGGCTCTCTTCTGCTCCTCTCTCCCCACCCCCACCCCCAGTTTCATGTTTCATGGCCCCTCTTCCTCAGCAAAGCTAGATCCCTTATGTCCTCAGGTCTTTGCTCCTGGCCACCCAACATGAGCTTTCATGTCCTACCTCCATGCCTAACCCTTAGCACCCCCCTTCTCTGCTTTATTATCTTTTCTTGACCCTTATCACTGTACACTATACAATCTATTTCACGTATCCTGTTGAGGACCTGTCTCCCCATGAGAATAGAAACTCCTTGAAGAGAGGGGTTTATCTGTGTTAATCACAGCTGTAACCTTGATAGCTAGATGAGTGGCTGGCATAAAATAGACATTCAATAACTATTTGGTGAATGAGTGAATTTAATTACTATATAGTAATCTACTATATAGTCTATTTATCTACTTCTTATTAATGGTCATTTAATGTTTTTGGTTTCCAGTATTACAAATAATGTTACAGCAAACATTCTTACGAATGTCTCTTTTACCACCATTTCTGCAGAGTATATGCCTAGAAGACTTCTTGACCTAGGTGTGTGATTTTTTTCAACATTAATGGATACTGTTTAATTGTTCTCCAAAATGGTAGTGTATTACGATTACTTAAAATACAGCATACATACTGGGTGTAATACCCTTGATAGCCACTCAGAGTTACTTTTCATATGTAACATAAATTTGTTGAATCAAAACGGAGACAACTTCTCTTCCTTCAGTTTATTTATTTTTTTAAAGATTTTATTTATTTGACAGAGAGAGACAAAGTGAGAGAGGGAACACAAGCAGGGGGAGTGGGAGAGTTAAGCAGGCTTCCCACTGAGCAGGGAGCCCGATGCCAGGCTCGATCCCAGGACCCCGGGATCATGACCTGAGCCGAAGGCAGACGCTTAACCAACTCAGCCACCCAGGCGCCCCTCTTTCTTCAATTTAGAATAACTTTAGTTAGTTAGAAGAGCTCCACAAAGAGCAGAGGCTGAGACTAAGCCAAATAAACTTAGTTCACTTGCCCCTTTTTTTTTTTTTTTTAAGATTTTATTTATTTGACAGAGAGAGAGCTAGCAAGAGCAGGAACACAAGCAAGGGGAGTGGGAGAGGGAGAAGCAGCCTTCCCATGGAGCAGGGAGCCTGACGCAGGGCCCGATCCCAGGACCCCGGGATCATGACCCGAGCCGAAGGCAGACGCTTAACGACTGAGCCACTCAGGCGCCCCAGTTCACTTGCCTCTTAAAGTCAGGGCATTATGCTAAGTGAAGTAAGCCAGTCATCAAAAAGGCATATACTGTAAGATTCCACTTAAATGAGGTATTAGGAGTCAAATCATAAGAGACAGAAGCAGAATGGTGGTTGCCAGGGACTAGACAGAGAGGAGACTGGGGAGTTATTACTAATTGGGACAGAGTTTCAGTTGGGGAAGATGAAAAAAGTTTTGGAGGTGAATGGTGATGTCTGCACAACAGTAAAAATTTACTTAATACCACGTGCACTTAAAAATGGTTAAATATATTTTACAACAACAAAAACATTTTTGAAAAAAAAAAGAGATTTACTCAAACAACATAAAGTCATTTGTTGTTTAAGTGCTAAAAAGATACCACCCAAATTGTCCACTTTATATTCATCAAGAAGTGAAAACAGATATGCAAACACAAGCCTTTTTTTTAAAGATATTTATTTATTTAGAGAGCATGATCGGGGGTAGTGGCAGAAGGAGAGGGAAGAGAGACAGAATCTCAAGCAGACTCCCTGCTAAGCACAGAGCCCTATGTAGGGCTCAGTCCCAGGACTGCGAGATCATTAACTGAGCCAAAATCAAGAGTCTGATGCCCAACCGCCTGAGCCACCCAGGCGCCCTGCAAACACAATCTTGATAAGGGTGTTATTCAATGTAACCACTAATCCTGTAGAAAATTCTCTCAGCACACAGAGCAGCATTTACCCAGAATCATTACACTGGAACAGTATATCTAGGTCCCAGCTTGCTCCTTTCATAGATTCCAGGGCTATTTTTCTTCACTGCAGCTAATGTCAGCAGTTACCTAATATAATCAAAGCAAAAGAGAGAAAAACTGCCAGTGTGCCTCCCAGTTTTTTCTCATCTCATGATAAAATCACAGGGTTTTGTTTTTGTTTTTTTATTTCACCAAACAGAAAAATGAAAAAGGGAGGATGGGAGAAGAGAATATATCAGATTTCCCTTTAAGTACCTTATTTGGCCAAGTCTATTTCATCAATACTTCCTGAGAAAGGCTATTGCAATGCAAAAGAAGTAGGGTGCACAATCTTAAAGGATGGTCTGCTAACTACATAGATTTGCTCTTATTTAGAATCCAGTACATTGTTTTCACTATCCCTACTTAATTATGCCAATGAAAACTTTGCCCTGGTAACTTCTGTCCAGGAGAAACATAGCTCCAACAGATACTCTGCTCTTTCATGCCCTGTTTTGCTTCCATACTGTTTTTTTTTTTAAGATTTTATTTATTTGACAGAGACAGAGACAGTGAGAGCAGGAACACAAGCAGGGGGAGTGGGAGAGGGAGAAGCCGGCTTCCTGCTAAGCAGGGAGCCCGATGTGGGACTCGATCCCAGGACTCTGGGATCATGACCTGAGCCGAAGGCAGCCGCTTAATGACTGAGCCACCCAGGCGCCCTTGCTTCCATACTCTTAACTGCATTGTCCATATGTGGCTTTACTTACATTCAAGTCTCTTCATCTTGTCTTGCTCACTGACAGCCCTTTTCCCTCATATCTCCCAAGAGTAATCTTTTTCCAAGCATTTATCTAAAATGCCTGGGAAGAGGAAGAAAGGGATTAGCAAAGACACAGGCCCAGTGCTCCTGATGCAGAAGAGCCAGCAAGGTAGATGGGCCTCCCCCAAGGAAGGTCACAGGCCAGGGCAGTAGGTGCTGCAGAGCCTTGGCCTCTGGCCCCAAGCCAGAGTATAGGGCGATGATAGGTCACTTCCCAGATCCACAGACTGGCAGGGAAGCAGCATACCCTGCCAGGCTAGGTTCTCCCTGTGTGCATGAGAAAGGCTGATCACAGGGTATCCAGTGACTAAATCGGAGCAAAGCTGTAAACAGAAATGGAGCTAGCATCTCCTATGTCATTTTCTTAGGGAAGTTCCCTAATTCAGACTTCTACTGAGTCATATTGGCTCACCAATTCATATGAGCTCAAGTTAATGAAATTTTAGTGTACTTGATTTATCTTAAAGTCTTCAGAAGAAAAACAGTGTTTCAGGAAAACACTGCATTGTATCCATCCAGCACAACCTCCAGGTTATCAGATTCTAGCCTTCCTTGTCTTTGACCTATTGTGCAGCTTTCTGTCAATTGTGGGTGACAGGAACACATGCAAGCTGTTTTGTCTGATAGTTTCCATGGACTTCTCTTCCCTCTGTAGAAAAATCAGTTTGCCCAGATTTGCAATTCAATTCCTTTACTCATATAAATGTGAGCCTTTTGACTTCATTTGAACTGTTTAGAACATTTGCCTGGTTCCCTACGTGAATAAAACAAAACACATGTTCATTTTAATGTGATCTGTGTGAGCGTAATTTTATCTTTCTCTGGCAATTATCTTAAGATGCCTTACTCCTAGTCAAGCTCCATCCATGGGACCTGTAGTGATGTCCACTCTTTCATTTCTGATATTATTTGTGTCTTTTTTTCTTCTTTGTCTGGCTAGGGCTTACAGATTTATTAACCTTTTCAAAGAATCAGATTTTCATTTTGTTGATTTCCTGCCTTTAGTTTCACAGATTTCTACTCTAATTTTTATTACTTGGGCATCTGGGTGGCTCAGCTGGTTAAGTGGCTGCCTTTGGCTCAGGTCATGATCCCAGGATCCCAGGATCCAGCCCCGTGTCAGGCTCCCTGCTCAGCGGGAAATCTGCTTCTCCCTCTCCCTCTGCCTGTCCCCATCCCCCACCGCTGGTGCTCGCCCTGTCTCCCATAAATAAATAAAAAATAATAAATAATAAATAATAAATAAATAAATAAAATCTTTTTTAAAAGTGTGTTGTCCCCAATTATTTGGGTGATTTTCCAGCTGTCTTTCTGTTATGATTTCTAGTGTAATTCCACTGTGGTCTGAGAGCAGACATTACACGATTTCTACTCTTTTAAATTTGTCACAGTGTGTTTTATGGCCCAGAATGTGGACCATCTTAGAGAATGTTCCAATGTGACCTTGAGAAGAATGTGCAGTGTATTCATCAATTTCTCCTTGCAGTTCTATCAGTTTTTGACCTACATATTCTGCCTATATGTTGTTAGGCACATACACATTAAGGATTGCTACATATTCTTGGACAATTGACCCTTTTGTCATTATGTAATACCCCTCTTTATCCTTGATAACTTTCTTTGCTCTGAAGTTTAAACTGTGTGAAATTAACATAGGTACGCCTACTGCCTTTGATTGGTGGCAGTATGGAATACCTTTCTCCATCCCTTTATTTTTAATCTATGTGTATTTTTATATTTAAAGTGGATTTCCTACACTAAGATCCAACAACATGTAGTTGGGTTTTATTTTTCTATCCACTCTGACAATCTCTTTTGATTGGTACACTTAAGACCATTGATGTTTACAGTGATTACTGATATACAATACAGGCATACCTCAGAGACATTGTGGGTTTAGTTCCAGATCACTGCAATAAAGCAAATGTCACAAAAAGGAATATAAATGAAATTTGTGGTTTCCCAGCGCATATAAAAGTTATATCTACACTATGCTGTACTCTGTTCACCACGCAATAGCATTATGCCTAAAAAACAATGTATATACCTTAATTTTAAGATACCTTATTGCTAAAAATGCTAACCATCATCTGAACTTTCAGTAAGTCATAATCACTGATCACACATCACTGTAACAATATAATAATTTAAAAGTTTGAAATATTATAAGAATTACCAAAATGTGATGGAGACATAGAGAAAAAATGCTGTTGGAAAAACAGCACCAAAAGACTTGACACAGGGTTGCCACAAACTTTCAATTTGTAAAATGTGCAGTATCTGTAAAGCACAATAAAACAAGGTATATCTGTAGTTGGATTAATGTCTACCATATTTTTACTATTATTTGTTGCCCTTGTCTTGTTCTTATTGTTGTCTTCCATGCCTTTTTTTGCCATTTGTGGTTTTGATCATTTTATAGGATTCTATTTTCACATTTTTCTTAGCCTATCAATTATACTTCTTTTTAAACTGTTTTTAGTGGCACCCTATAGTAATATACATTTATTAACTAATCCAAGTCCCCTTTCAAAGACAAATACACCACTTCACAGGTAGTACGAGTACCTTATAGGTAACAAAATATTCCTAATTCCCCCCCTATCCCTTGTATCATTGCTGTCATTCATTTCACTTATACATAAGCGTATCCTTTTTATATATGTGTGAATGTATATATCTGTTATCTGACAGCTATTAGATTAAGAAAAACAAGTCTTCATTTTACCTTCACGTATTCATTCTCCAATGCTCTTCCTTTATGTAGATCCAAGTTTCTGAATATATAATTTTCTTTCTCTCTGAACAACTTCTTTTAACGTTTCTTGCAAGGCAGATCTACTGGCAACAAATTCCCTCAGTTTCTGTTTGTCTGAGAAAGTCTTCATTTCTTCTCACTTTTGGAGGAAATTTCACAGGGTGTAGAATTCTAGATTGGTGGGTTTTTCTCCCAATACTTTGTATGTTTCACTCCCCTATCTTCTTCCTTGCATGGGTTCTGAGAAGAAATCAGATATAATTCTTACCTTTGGTCCTGTATAGGTAAAGTGTTTCTATCTGTGGCTACTTTCAAGATTTTTTCTTTATCTTTGATTTCCTGAAGTTTGAAGAAGATATTCATGTCATTCCTTTTTTTTTTTCCCCTAAGATTTTATTTACTTGCGAGAGAGGGCAGGGAGAGAGAGCGAGCGAGCATTAGCTGGGGGGAGAGGCAGAGGGAGAGGGAGAAGCAGGCTCCCCACCAAGCAGGGAGCCCAATGCAGGGCTTGGTCCCAGGACCCCAGAATCATGACCTGAACTGAAGGCAGATGCTTAACTGACTGAGCCACCCAGGCGCTCCTCCTGGGTGTCATTCTTTTGACATTTATCCTGTTTCATGTTTTCTGAGCTTCATCTGTGGCTTGATGTCTGACATTAATTGGGGGAAAGTCTCCGTATTATTATTTCAAATATTTCATCTGTTCCTTTCTCTTTCTGCTCCTCCTGGCATCCCCATTACACGTCTGTTATGCCTTTTATGGATGTGCCACAGTTTTTGGATATTCTGTTGTGATTTTTTTCAGTCTTTTTTCTCCTTGCTTTTCAGTTTTAGAAATTCTCAGTCATATCCTCAAGCCCAGAGATTCTTTCCTCAGCCCTGTCCAGTCAGTTAATAAGGCCATCAAAGGAATTCATTTGTTATTGTTTTGGTTCTGCTTAACTCTAGCATTTCTTTTGATTTTTCCTTAGAATTACCATCTCTCTGCTTACATTATCCATCTGCTTTTTGCATGTTGTCTAACTTTTTCCATTAAAGCCCTTAGGATACTAATCACAGTTTTTAAAAATTCCTGGTCTGATAATTCCAACATTCTTCCTTTTACTCTGTTTGGTCTGGGAGGCCATAACAAGGGTCTGGAGGAGAGGGCTGACACCTCAATTTAAATTTTAATAGGATCACTCTGGCTGGTGTGTTGAGAACAGACTGTAGGGTCAGAAAGGCAGAAGCTGAGACCAAGTATCAGCCAACTGTGGTCTTCCAGGCGAGAGAGGTTGACGGCTTGAGCCATGCTGAAGGTGGTGAGAGGTCAGATTCTTTGCATTTTGAAGGGAGATCTGAAAATATTTTCCTAAGGACTGGATGTGGGATATAAGGAATTAAAAGTCAACTGTAAGATTTTTGGCTTGAGTATTAACTAAGATGCAGAAGGGAAAAATTGGGGCAGAGTGAGTGTTAAGGGTTAGTTTTGACTCTGTGTGTGTGTGTGCGTACATGCAGATGAGGTTTCCAAGTAGCAATGTCAAGTGGGCAAGTGGAGAATGAGCTGCAGGTCAATGGAAAGGTCCAGTCTGCAGATCTGAGAGATAGCAGCTTGCCTCAAACCATGTTACTGGATAAGATCACAAGGGAGGGAGACTCCATGAACTGAGCCTTGGGAGCATTTCAATATGAAGAGGTCTAGCAAACAAGAGGCAACCAATCAAGCAGTCTGAGAAGGACAAGCCCTGAAACCGCAGAAAACCATGGAGGGTGCTGGTCTAGAAGGACATATTGACTGAGGTGACTCCCATGATGAGCTAGTCATGTGCAGCCCACACGTGTAATAGCATTAGGACTAAGAACTGACCGTGATGATCCCGACAAGGATGGTTTTAGTGAAGTGGTGGAGGTGAGAGCTTAGAACCCAGCACATAATTCACTCAATACTTGTTTAAAGAGTAAATGACACACACTCAATAGTGCACACACACCGTGTACCTCCAAACACCCACATTTCACTAAACACAGCAGTGCACACACACATACCATGAACCACCTTAGTAAACTATCACTATAAAAGACCCCCTCTGAAGAATGTCACAAGGTGAAGGAGAGAGAGAAGAATGGGATCCTCTCCACCGGTGTCTCTGTCACCCTGGACTGCTATAACAAAATACCATAGTCTGGGTGACCTAACAACAAACACTTACTTGTCAGAGTTCTGGAGGCTTGAAATTCTGGCAGATTTGGTGACTGGTGAGGGCCCTTCCTGGTTTGTAGATGGCTATCTTCCATTATGTCCTCCTGGGCCTTTCCCTGCTACATGCACTTGAACACAGAGATTGTGTGCCTCTCCTTTTTAATAAGGACATTAATTCCATCATGAGGGCCCACCCTTATAACCTGATGTAACCATGATTACCTTTCAAAGGCCCTACCTCCAAATACCATCACACTGGTGATTACAGCTTCAATAATTAAATTGGGAGAGGACACAAATATTCACTTCATAGCAGGTTTTTTTTTTTTTTTCATAGCAGCAGGCTTGGGGCACACATGCTAGTGAACTGGAGCAGCCAATCCTGCCCCTCAGTAAGCTGTCCTTGATTCCAAAAGTCTCCATTGACACATCACAGCAAAGTCTAGCTCCAATTTTCTGAGCTGTCCCATCCAGGTGCAGTCTCAAGATGAGTTGAGTGGCGCTCACCATACCATGTCAAGACAGGAAGACCAGTGGGGAAGATATCAGGCAAGAAAAGGAAGAGCACCCAAATTTGGTCATGTGACCATAGCCTTTATCAATGTGGTTGGCACGACCCCAGCTATTTACACAGAAGACCCTCCACAGATCCTAAAACCTGAGCAGAGTAAAAACAAGAGGCACAGTCCACTAGGGCAGTATATTGTGTCCCAAAAAGTAGACAGTGATGTGGGGCCACAGCATTTGAAGGCCCAAAGGTTTGAAGGTGCCCCTCCATAGGTTGCCTTTATCTATTTTATGGGTTGAATTTGTTATGGGTTAAATTTGCACCTCCTCAAAAAAGATATTTTAGAGTCCTAACCCTCAGCTAACCCCCACCCTTCAGAATATGATCTTATTTGGAGACAGGGTCTTTATGGAGGTAATCAAGTTAAAATGAGATCATTCAGGTAGCTCCTAATCCAATGTGACTAGTGTCCTTAAAAAGGGGGACATCTGGGGGCACCTGGTGGCTCAGTGGGTTAAGTGTCTGACTTGATTTCGGCTCAGGTCATGATCTCAGGCTCATGGGACCGAGCCCTACGTCAGGGACCGAGCCCTACGTCAGGCCCTGAGCTCAGTGCGGAGTCTGCTTGTCCCTCTCCCTCTGCTCTCCGCCCCCCCGCCCCACTCACTCTCTCTCTTTCAAATAGATAAGATCTTTTTTTTTTAAAGGGGGAGGATCTGAACACAGGCACACAGGAACAACATCATGTGAAGACAGAAGCAGAGAACAGGATGGTGCACCTACAAGCCAAGGAACACCAAAGATGCCAGTGAACCCCCAGAAGCTGGGAGACAGGCCTGGAACAGGTCCTCCCTCACAGCCTCAGAAGGAATTAGCCCTGCCGACATCTTGATCTCAGACTTCTGGTCTCCAAAACTGGCAGAGAATAAATGTTTGTTGTTTGAGACACTTAGTCTGTGGTACTTTGATTACCACAGCCCCAGCACACTAATCCAGTACCATTTTCTGTCCTTTCTTTTTCCTGTTCTTCCTTCCAAGTATCTTTTCCTTGCATTTTGGGCTACTTCTGCTTCTGATCCAGACATAACCGGAGTGCCCATTTCCATCTTTACTCATTCATTAACTCATCAAACATTCATTGAGCACCTACTATAGGCCACAATATTATACAAATGACCTCAGAGAGCCATATAAAGGGCTCAGTGAAGCACCGACTGTCCTATGGCAAATGAAGCAAGCCAAGCTGGCAACACGTGCTGAAACAAGTTTGAAGAACCATACAGATCATTCTGTTTTGAGGTCAAATGTATCAAAGCATAAACTGTAATGAGACTACTAATTTGTATTTTGCATAGCAATTAATTATATGCTTATTGGATAGTAAATACTATTAGCAAATTAGTCTTTATAGCCATGACATAAATATTAATGACTTTGCATGCATATATACAAAACACCTCATGTTTCTACAGAAGAGTAACTTAAGAAAGACCTAATTCCAGTGTTTTTCTGTGTCTCAGAATATGGTCACAATTGAGGCACATGGGTGGCTCAGTCTAAGCATCTGACTCTTGGCTTCGGCTCAGGTCATGATCTCAGGATCCTGAGATCGACCCCCGCTTCAAGCCCCGCGTAGTGTTGGGCTTCCTGCTCAGCGAAGAGTCTGCTTCTCCCCTCCTCCCTACCCCTACACCCATTCATGCACTCTCTCTCTAAAATAAACAAACCTTTAAAAAAAAAAAAGAAGAAAGCCAAAATTATGTTCACTGCCACCATTTTCCTTCAAAGCTAACTATTACCTAATTTCAGTCATTACATAAAATGTGACCCAAAAATATTTTAGAGTATTGGTTGCACAAATAATTTTCCTACAAATTAGCATAAAGTCACTAAATCCAATTTTTGGTTCACTGAGCAAGCAAGAAAAAAAGATTAGAGCCATCATATACTTTATGAAAAAGCCAAACCAAACTGGTTGCTAATAAACTGGCTGGTTTATAACTGTTCAAACCAGCAGTAACACAATGATAGTAATAGAATCTAGACATCATTACGTGAGGATGGGTTAACCCTTTGTTGGTTACCATTGTACAAATTACTCCAAAAGTCTAACAGGTAAGAAGAAATACAAGTAAAAAGAAACACTTCCACATTCTGCATGGAGCACTGGGTGTTATGCACAAACAATGAATCATGGAACACTTCATCTAAAACTAATGATGTAATGTATGGGGATTAACATAAGAATTAAAAAAAAAAAAAAGAAATATTTCAGGGGCGCCTTGGTGGCTCAGTCGTTAAGCGTCTGCCTTCGGCTCAGGTCATGATCCCAGGGTCCTGGGATCGAGTCCCACATCGGGCTCCCTGCTCCGCGGGAAGCCTGCTTCTCCCTCTCCCACTCCCCCTGCTTGTGTTCCTGCTCTCGCTATCTCTCTCTCTGTCAAATAAATAAATAAAATCTTTAAAAAAAAGAAATACTTCATAACTTTTCCTAGAAAACTTGGTCGGGATGCCTGGATGGCTCAGTCAGTTGAGCGTCTGCCTTCAGCTCAGGTCATGATCCCAGGGTCCTGCTTTATATATTTCAAATACTCAAATGTTAGCTATCATGATTATATAAGACTATCAAGCCAAGAGAAAGAAGGAGAAAAAAAATAAATGTACAAAAAATGATAGCAAAATAGATACCAAAAAAGTCACATAAAATGTAAATAGGGACTAAAACTTAAATAATAAAAAATGAGATTATTAGACTGGATAAACCATCAAAATCCAGCTATATATTGTTTACGACAGACACCTGAAGTATTCAAAAAACACACGAAAAGGCTGGGGTAGGGAAAACAGCACAAATTAGCAAAAAAAAAAAAAAAAAAAAGGCAGGCATAATAATAGACATGTCTGATGAAAATACAACTTAAGGTAAATGCAAATGCACTGGTGGGGACAGAGATGCACCTTACATAATAAAAAAAAATAATAATAATAACCCATCAAGAAGATACTGAAATCATTAACTAGTAAATACTTAACAGTGTCTTGGAAATAAAAATCAACCAAATCAGGGAAAACAAATTTGAAAAATCCACGGCCTTAGTGAGAGATATCAAGACTTTATCATAAACTGATTAATCAAGCGGACAAAAAGCAATAAAAATAGAGGCTATTTATATAGTAACAGTAGCAAGCTTGAGCTAATGGATGATCATACAGGGTCTTACCTAGCAAATAAAAAACACATACTCTTCCTAAGAACAGTTAAACATTTATAAAAATTGACCATGTACCAGCTTACAAAGTATATTTCAACAAATACCAAAATACTGATATCATGAAGACCATGTCCTCTGATCATATATAATTAAATCACCAACAATAAAAAAGATCATTTAAAAAGGTGCCATGAGTTTACAATTTCTTAAAAATCACACTCAAATAACCAAGGCTTAACAAAGAAATCACAATGATAATCATTAAACATAACTGAAATGAAAAAAACCACATGAAGAAACTTGTAGGCTGCTGTTAACCCAATACTTAAAAGTTAGAGTCTTAAATTTATTTATTTTAAAACAAAGTTTAAAAAGTATGGGTTAAGGGCGCCTGGGTGGCTCAGTTGGTTAAGCAACTGCCTTCGGCTCAGGTCATGATCCTGGAGTCCCGGGATCGAGTCCCACGTCGGGCTCCCTGCTCAGCAGGGAGTCTGCCTCTCTCTCTGACCCTCCCCCCTCTCATGCTCTCTCTCTCTATCTCATTCTCTCTCTCAAATAAATAAATAAAATCTTTAAAAAAATAAATAAATAAAAAGTATGGGTTAAGCATTCAACTTGAGTAGCTAGAAGCAAATCAAAATAAAGAACACAATACAAGCAGTAATTAGTAAAACAGAAGGCAAACATAATAGAGAAGAGCATATGAAACCAAAGACTGGTTCATTGAAAAGATTAACAAAAATCTTTTGCAAGCCTAACAAAAATAAAAGACCCATACAAATAATATTCTAAATTAAAAAGATCACAGTTGCAGTTGTAAAAATAGAAAGTGTTACAAATAACATTTATGCCAAATAAATTTGAAAGCTTAGATGAAAATAATTTTCTCAGAAAACATAAATTACCAAACCTAACTCAAGAAGAAACAGTCCTGAATATCACAGTAAGTATTAAACTAAATTGGTAATAAAAAGAAACCATCCCCAGGGGCGCCTGGGTGGCTCAGTTGGTTAAGCGACTGCCTTCGGCTCAGGTCATGATCCTGGGGTCCCGGGATCGAGTCCTGCATCGGGCTCCCTGCTCAGCGGGGGGTCTGCTTCTCCCTCTGACCCTCCCCCCTCTCATGTGCTCTCTGTCTCTCTCATTCTGTCTCAAATAAATAAATAAAATCTTTAAAAAAAAAAAAAGAAAGAAAAGAAACCATCCCTATCCCTGCTTCCAAGTCAGGAGGGTCAAGGTGGGGGCAGGGGGAGACTCCAGCCTCAGGCAGTTTCATGGGCAAGGTTTACCAAATCTTTAAGGAATAAAGAGGCCCTATCTTATAAAATTTTTTTCCTTAAAAAATACTTTCAATAGACACAATTTTCACAATAATATTCACCAATCTTATTATCACTCAGTGAAATGTTGCAAATGCATAATTACCAGCTGAATCAATCAATACACTTTTTTTTTTAATTTTTTAAAAAGATTTTATTTATTTGAGAGAGAGAGCACAGAGGCAGAGTAAGAGGGAGATACAGACTCCCTGCTAAGCAGAGAGCCCGATGTGGGGCTTGATCCCAGGACCCTGAGATCATGACCTGAACTGAAGGCAGACACTTAACCTACTGAGCCACCCAGGTGCCCCAATACTATTACATTATCATCACCCCAGAAAGTTCCTTCCTGCCTCTTTGGTGTCAATCCCTCCCTTCTTCAAGGCAATTATCATTCCAATTTGTATTATCATGGATTAATTTCACTTCATATCACTGGAATCACAGAGGATTGCTCACTCTTCTGATTTTTTCCTTGACATAATGCTCCTGAGACTCGTCCATGCTCTTGCGTGCATCAGGAGCTCTTTCTTTTTACTGCTGCCTAGCATTACACGCACCAGTATTTCTTTATCCATCCTCTCATTGAGGAACGTTTGGGTTGTTTCCAGTCTGACACTATTATGAATAAAGCCACTGTAAACATTCTCGAACAAGACGTTATGTGGACATGTGCATGCTGAACTGGGTATATTTGGAAGGAGAATCACTGGGTCATAGGGTAGGTGTGTGTTTGTCAGAAACTGTCAGGGGCGCCTGGGTGGCTCAGTTGGTTGGGCGACTGCCTTCAGCTCAGGTCATGATCCCAGAGTCCCAGGATCGAGTCCCGCATCGGGCTCCCTGCTCAGCAGGGAGCCTGCTTCTCCCTCTGACCCTCCCCCCTCTCATGTGCTCTCTGTCTCTCTCATTCTCTCTGTCTCAAATAAATAAATAAAATCTTTAAAAAAAAAAAGAAACTGTCAGGTTCTCCAGTTGTGCACTCCAACAAGCAAAGTGTGAGAGTTCTAGCTGCAGCTGCTCCATGTCTTCGCTAACACTTGATATCACCAAGGAATGCAGGCGGCCTCCAGAAGCCAGA